TGTCGCCATGCAGCGTGTCTCGGCCCTGTTCCCTTCATGGGACCGGGCAAAGCAAACAACATCCGTCACCCCCAGGTCGCCCAGTGCCCTGAATAAGGTTTTCGGATGGGGAGGGAAGGCGGTTGTGCCCGTCAAGACGACACAACAACCCACAAGTTACGACCGCGAAACATACTGGCCAACAACCCTCGACAAGGAATGTGACAAGGCCGCCAGGATATTAAAGTCATTTTGCAGTACGTCATAGCTCGTTTCCCCAAGTTCACTGACTCGTCAGCACCAACTAATATGTCTATCCTCACAAAGTGGATGGATTCATTGTAGAAGAACCACAAGAGCAAGATCCCGATACCGATACCCCACCAACAACAAAATCCGTTACGAAAAAGATCCCTCCAAGGATATTACAAGATGCCGTCGGCCTCGCAGTCTTCTCGTGCATGCGCTCGGGACTGTGGATGTCAGGATCAGGCGGCGCCGGGCTGATTACCGCAAGGAGGGCAGATGGCACATGGTCACCACCGTCTGGTATAATGCTCCATACGGCCGGGCTAGGCTTCGTTATGGGAGTCGATATCTACGACTGCGTCCTTGTCATTAACAGCGTACAAGCTCTCGAACTTTTCACCCGTCCAAAGGTGGTTCTCGGAGTCGATGTCGACCTTACCCTTGGCCCGCTTGTCGACGCAGACTCGACCGACAACGACACACGATGGAAGGACCTCAACGATACCGTTCTCACATATATCAAAGCCCGCGGCAGGCACCAACCAGTGCCCCTTGACGGATCGCTTGTTTCGGAGCGTGGCAACGAGAACGTTCGATTCTACAGCAGCGACATTTCAGTCCTCGACATCCTCGCCGGTAACATTGGCAAGGAGGTTCCCGAAATGCGCCCGCTATTTGAGGTCTTGAAGGCTGCCGAGGGCCGGACGGATTATGACGCAGATGTTATGGAGATGCTTGCTCAGCAGCCTGCCCCTAGTGATGCCGTCATCGATACCCCACGGACGTCGGTCCGACAGTCGATCGTGAAGAACCCCTTTGGTATCCCCGATGTCGACGATCCGGATCCATTTGGTGTCATTGGCCTCGAGATGGCGGGTATTGAGATCAGAGAAGCCGGTACACGTCTACGACCCACCAGCACTCAATTCCAGTTCCAACCCAGTCCCAAGAGCCCCGCGTTCGCCAGGTACAGCCGACAGAGTGGTGACACGTTCCAGTCGAGGAGCAACCGCGAAAGCTGTATGTCGACGAGGTCACAGGCTACCGTCATGACGGACGCGTGCACACAAACCGATGCCACGAGCACCCCCGAGACAAGTTTCAGCCGCGCCAATAGTATGGACGGCCGAGACTCAAAGTTGTCGGATAAGCTGCCCACTGTCGTGGAACCCGAGTTCGAACCAGAAGAGGTTGACTATACACAGATCGATATGAGCATGATTCAACGATTCAGGCCGCTGCCCGAAGAAGAGGAAGAGGAGGAGCTGCAGCCTGAGCCCGTGGCCCACCTCGGTGACAAGGCCGATGCGGAAACCACCGGCACCAAATCCATCAAGGATAACACGAGTGAATACCCCGAAAGCGAGAAGGACGAGAGCGAAAGAGACGAAGACGCCGATGACGAAGAAGACGAAAGCGACGAAGACTTTGACGATGAGGCCATCATCTGCGAGGTCGCCACTGCTCAACCCGCCCGAAGCTCCATCCGCTCATCACAAATCACACCCGTCATCCACGCCAAGGCAGGAATTGTTACCATTGCGAAGCGAGCCCCTCCTCCGCTGCCTGCCAAGTCGCCAGCCCGGGCTTCTCTGGGAAGCCGCGGTACAGACTACGGCAGCATCAGTGAGATCTCCGCCCTCAAATCGCCCCTCCGCCACTCTTCCTACTCGATGGACTCTCGCATGAGCGATCCTCTGGCTTCTACTGAAGCGTCCGAGACGTTCGCCACTCCTGCCACGGTTATGGAGGAGGTTGAGCCCGCTTCTCCTGAACCAGTCAAGCGTTCTTCCCAGGGACACCAGAAGAACTCGTCGTCGGTGAACACGGCTGTGGATCTGTCTGCTAAGCGGAGGGCAAGCTTGGAGACGTTTCCTGAGGTGCCGGCTACGCCGAGGACAATTGATTTGACTTCTTCTGCTGAGGATTCAGAGAGGGAACCCAAGACTCCCAAGACGGATGCTGGGTTTGCCAACACCACCACTCTCGAGGATGAGAAGGTTGGCGGCAAGGAGGTGAACATTGTTTCTGCGCATGGGGCCGAGTCTAACCCTGTTGTGGTTGTATGAGTGAATGGTTAGGAGGAAAAAAGAAAGACAAAAATACGTGTGGTGGAATTTTAGTTTCACATATAATAGCGGGAACGGGATTATGGAGACTACGAACGGGAACTGGAACTGGTGATTGGCATCGGTTTACCTTTTGACACGGAAGACATGGGAAGCGGCGTTCTTGTGTTATCAACATTACATACCATTTTCATTGAACGTACCAAGGAGAGAAGAAAAGGGCGGCGGGCTATCATGGGTCTGGCGGGCAAGCAAAGCAATTGGACGGACTGATGGTTACAGTCGGAATGAGTGGGTGGGTGGGTGGCTAAGCACGTAACCTACTTGCTTGCGCGGACGGCTTTTTGGACGCTTTTTGGGCGTTGCCTTGGTATTCTTCTTTTTTATACTCTACGATTTCTTGACTGCATGGTTTAGCAAGCAGTAGTACTAGCTCTGTTAGCCTGTACGGCCCGGCTTTGGTCATTGCATTCTTCAAAATACCCATATTTTCTCTTTAGCTTTCACCACGGATGTTATGATGAAGTGTGGCAGGCCGTCTCTGCTGAGAAGTTACCTTTTAAGAAGAAAGATGGCGGTTGCAAGATGAATCCATCAATGAAGTAAACAAGATTATTACAATTTATGCATCACAATTTAATCACTGACATGTTGCTGTGACCTGTCTGGGTGTGTGACTTCACTTGCAATGGAACGTCACGGAGCTCGGCCGCTTATCTTAAGATGAGTACGTCCGGAAGCTCCCCGTGGCCCCTTTCTTTTCCCTGACAATACTCGTTATAGACCTACCGAACCAAGCCGGTCGGGTGCACGAACGGTTTAAATCTTGAGGCCCCAGCCAACAGGCGTGTGCGATGGTCACTCCTTGCACTTCCCTTTAAAACTGCTTATTACCACACGCATCGGCAGCATATCTCTTCCATGGAAAAATAGTACAATGAGGCCTTTGGCCGTGGCCTTGGCGGGCGATCAATTGACTGGGTAAGTGACGGAACCAGTCCGAAACCGCTCGTTGTACTTTAGAAGAGCTGTCACGAAGCTATGACAGGGATCACGATACTTAAAAAACGCATTGGCTGACGTCCCTTGGGGTTTTTTTTTTTTTTTTTTTTTTTTTCAAATAGGAATTACTTAGAAACTATGTTCAAAGGTGTACACATAAAGACGCTTGGACGCGAAGAGTATACAAAAGGTATAGTGTCAAAGGTCTCAACCAGGCAATTTTGTCATGGACGAGCCTGTGCAGCATTCATATCGCAGTCATGCTTCCTATCTTGTTCTCCGTGTCTATACTACGATCCTACTCATGCAATCCACGTGCGTACCTCACTTTGAGCTCACATATGATCCATCAGCACCACTGTGGGGTTATGCATACCCAACAAACTCGATACAACAACTCGGTCATCAACAAACCACTTGGGCGGTGTGGACTATTTATTCGATAGAAAACTTGGGCAGTTCCAATATGTTCATCTGTCGCGACGTACGTACGGAGATCTACATTGATATTTTACAATCTGATGCTGGTTTATTTGTTGGCTTGGAATATTGAATGTAATCTGTCTCGAATAGTCCCAAACCTCGCAAGAGAGACAAATTGAAATGGCTGAGGACGAGTGATAAAAGGCGTTGTTGGTAGGATTTGATATGGCCGTACATCCCACAGCAATCTATAGGCTATGGGGGTGTCGGATCTCTTTTGGGGTATATAGGTTTTGCTATCAGGACACTATTTCAACAGCAACAACTAGACACTTTGGCGGAGTGGTTAACGCGCAGCCCTGCTATTACGTAATATGCGAGGCTGTGACCTTTGGTCGCGCAGGTTCGAATCCTGCAGGTGTCGTTTGATGTCTTTTTTTTTCTTTTATGTTTTTGAGGTCTAAATGATTCCTTTTTGTTGCTTTTGATGTTTTCCTTTTCATTTCGGTCGAATTGGACGTTTTGCGCTTGTTGTGTGGTGGTTTTGCACTCGGTTTGCGAAAAAGGTACGATATGCGTGCAAAGCAAGCAAGCGCATCGATTTGCGTTTCGCTCCTTCCTGCGTGCAGGTGCAGCTGACGTGATTTCTCCTGGACTTTCTATAAAATTGGAAGGTGCAATGATGGTCTCAGGTATTGGCGGGGTATTTAGTTGTCTTTCTAGGCTTTTGGTCTTAGTGTTCCTCTTTCTTCTAATCAACCACCCTCCGACTCTTCCAACGAACCCACTTTGAGCGCCCAGTCCGGTTGCAAAATCCCCTTTTTGTTTTTCTACCCACTGCACTGGCAATCACAAAGTTCCCGAATGATGCACTGTCTCATTGTTGTTTCTCAATCCATGACACTGACAGCTTTGCACGATGGTCACGACGTACCATGGTAATTTTCCACGACGGGTATCCATATCGAGGCTTCGAACGGGACAGATACAGACGACGTTTTTCTTGGCTCTGGGCGCACCTCCCTCGTTGAGGACACTCCGATGTTTGAAGCCAAAAACGGCACACAATCAGATACAGGAACAAGTGAGGGGTTATGTATTCCACACCCTGCAATCTCCGTCTTATAGCCAGTCAGTCCATTGTTGACTCTAGCTAACTTTCTCCATCGAAAAGGCTTCGTCTCCATTACACCCAAGCAAGATACCTACCCAACAACATTGCCGACACCAGAATCTCCAGTCCGCCATCAAGCCTTTTCCATCCACGCCCAAGTCACGATGGATTCATTCTTCCTCGATTTGCTCTTCGTCGCCATAACCCCGGCGGCTATAGTGGTGGTAATGATCATTAGTTGCCTCATCATGTTCATCGTCTTTGGAGGTATAGGCATGATTGGTTATGGGATCGTTTCCCTATTTTCCAACGTGCGTGAATACGTGCGTCGGTCAAAGGTACATGTTGGACACTCCCTTCGGACTCTGTGACAGGCGCAACGCCGTTTAGGTCGCGGCCGTTGCGGAGACTTCTTGGTGATCAATGGGGTCACTCAGAGTTCTTGGGTCCGTGCCAATGAGCAGATCACTCCCAACAAGCGATTCTGGAAGGAGTATGCGGATTTTGAGTAGTACCAACTCCGAGTTAGAGGTCAGGGTGATGCAGTCAGGGGAAGCCATCTGGCTCAACAGCGCTCTCTTGATGATAGCAACGACTTCTGGGAGAGAGCTGAAGATCCGGAGGTCGACTTCAATTCCTCAGAGGTTGGCGAGGCTTCAGCGAGAGCCCCGAGGAGTACCGCAAAGGACTCCGCCGTCTTCGCCGCGCCGCCGAGGGCGGAGAGGATCGCCGAAGAAACCCCCGATGAAAAGAAAAAACGGCAGTTCGATGACAACAAGTGGCGAAGGGACAGGGATGCAGTTGAAACGCCGGAAGCGCGTCAAACAAGACTAGCAAAGCAGACAGCGTGGGCTTTCTTGTGGCTATGCGCGTCCGCCTGACCGCCGACGGTCCCGCTCCCCCAAGATGAAGGCCACGATCCACCGCCCCTTCTGTCTCCAACACTACCATCAGCCACTGGGACAATACCAGGCTTAGGGAAATGACAGCGACTATACGAACCGGGACCTTGACTCACAAGCAACAAGAACAGTTGGATCAGCTTGGGGTAAAGGAGCTTTTCACAATCCGACGTAGAGTCACTTTTTCCAAGACTGCTGCGATCGAGGTCTACAACAACATGAAGAATATTCTCCCGAGTGACGAACGAGATCACTCTGAAGGACGGGCATGGGGGAAGGACATATTGTCCCCTTTCTTCCGTGAGACATGACAAATGTTGAAGTCTATGTATGTACCTGAGAAAATTCATGGTAATGCATAGACAACAAGCAACATTTCTAGAGGTTCTGTTGAAATTCAGAATGGAATTTGTCATCATCTTCGCGGCTACACGTTCTTGACACGATGAATGAAATCCAACGATGGCTAAGTCAAGACAAGAGTAGCCGAGTGAAATTCTGTGTACAAGAAGACTGAATAATTGCGTTAAAGCATTCTGTTCACTGGGTATTCATCTTGTATCGGGCTTTCGCGGACTCATTCTTCCTTGCCAACCTTGCCCTCCTCTCGTCTGGCATTTCTTGCTTGGTTCTCTCCTGTTCCCTTTCCACCATCCTTTTCAGCCTGGCCTTTTATTTTCGTCTGGGGTTTCCTTCTCTAACCACTTCCGATTCCGTTCCTTGGTCTTTGCCATCCTTGTCGTTTTCTCATCGGGAGCTTTCGGTATGGCACTGGACACTGCTATCCCCCCACTCCTTCCTATTTGACTACTCATTGATACCAAAATCACCCCATAGCTTGGTTCCGACAGACATTGACGCGTTTAGCTCCTACAATATCTCATTGCGCTATTGTAGCGCGTGTGCCTGCTATATATCATATTTGTACTCAATTGCTTGGTTTCGCTGAATGCTTCTCTTCCTCGGCCTCGTCGCAATCACGTCAGCAAGAACAACGGGCCATACACCAACTTCCGATAACATCCCGCGCTGTACAGATCGGACCGGCCCTCCCGGCGGCCACTCCTCCCGCAGCCCGCTACGCCGCCTCTGCCTCACTAACCACCACCTCGGCTGCCCTCTCCCAACCTTCTTCACCCCGGCAGACCTAACCTGGAACGATCAACCCATCGCCGCCGTCCCCAGTACGCACCTCGCGGCCGAGTGAAACCTCCGCAGTCTCGCAACCAGGAACCGGTCAATGTAATCGAAGAAAGTTAGCTGTTCTTTTCCTATTCTGAAGACCGTGCCAGCCAAGCCATCCGTGACCATTTGCCGGATCATGCCGGTGCGGCCTGGAGCCGCTCATCAGCCGACATTGATTGAGGTCGCGCCCGGCTTTACCGCTTTATTATTTCGGCACAACCCTCCGACAGTAGGGGAGCTGAAAGGCCTCCCAACTCTCCATCATCACAGCCCACGCGAATGGGCTGTCTACCTTTTGGTCTTGGAGAAGGAGGATGCCCTTCCGGCCACCTATGTAGGGTCCGCGACCAACGCCACGCGTGGCATAGCATCAAGATTCGCAGACTACGATCATTTGCGAAATTTGTCTGTTCGATGCCAGGATTGGGTTAATGATGTTGATGAAGTCACATACCGCCCCTCCCCGTGTGACTGCCACCGACCAAGCAACTTTGATCTCACCCTACCCGAAACCTTGTCAGCATTGACTGTCGACGAAGTATCCCAACACCAACGGCGCAGCAGTGCCGTCTCTGCCGGCTCCTCCAAACCGAGCACCCACCTCTCTGTATTTTCTTTTTCTTCCCTACAGTCGGTGGTAAGTGTTGTCTTTTCATCTTTATAGTCATGATCCTGCTGCTGACACTGCTCATTAGATCCTCGCTGCCTGGTTTTGCCCGCCCTACTTATTCTGTAGCGCGCCGCCGTCAACAAAATCGCTGACGTCCGCCGCGCCATGGCCCAGCAGCAGGCCCCCCGCCGTCCTGATCACGAAGCCCCGGTGGAGGCGCACAGATATTGGCGTCCCCTCTACTAATGTTAGTTTCTATTCCTTCTGTCTAATCCCTATACCTTATTTAACATACTGATATTTTCGTATAGATGGATCCTCAAGGCGATCTTATGGCCTTCATGGCGTACATGGCGTACATGATCTTGATGGGCACTCGCGCCAAACACATCCAGCCGATCTACAACGTCCTCTTCAGACGTATCGAAGATGTGTGGCGCGCCCTCCATGACCTCGGCATGGTCGTAACCCCCGGCTTGTTGGAAGTTTTGCGCCGCCCCGATGAGCCCGATTTAATCAAGTTCTTTATCGACGGTTTGCCTGATATTCGATGGCCTGATTGGCGTAGATTGTGGTGCCTTTACCTCTATGTTTTGGAATTGCCCGGCTTTCCTACACATGTCTATATCGGCTCCGCCACATCAATACGTGCGAAATTCTCTAAATTTGTGTCATTAGCAACACCTTTTGACAAATTCGGAAAAGCTAGGTATATATGTTGTTATGATATTACTTACAACGTGGCTCTCCCAGTCGCTCCCAAGATAGGTTGTGATATGCATCAACTGGCCATCATCAAGTTTGATGTAGTGTCTTGGTAGTTTGGGGGTATCTAACCTCTCGACAATTCCCTTTGGGGGACCTTCTGCGTCGCTGTCCTTTAGTAGCATTACGCCCGGTGTCATGAGCCGGGTGATCTTCTCGATCTCTTCATCGTGTGTAATAGCACGAGGAGATTGCTGACTGGCCCGCCCTATTTGATGAAGGTCTGTTACAGCGTCGGTGACCACCTTGTATGATGGACTTGTGTGCTTCATTTTCTCTTTGCTGATGAAAGATTTGATAATCTTATGCGCTTGGCTTGGTATGAAGTCCGGGCGGTGCTCAAAACCATATGTCGAAACAATGGTAACATCGGCCATTTGGACATATCACGCTGCCCCCGTCCAGGTTCCGCATTATAGTTTCTTTAATTTCCGGCCCATTGAAACACCTGAAGATATCTTAGGAATATAGCCAGGAGGTATAGTCTAGTTCTATAGCTAACCCGTAGAGATCGTAGAAAGCCATCATTCCCCACGCCTCGGAGAATAAGTCATACGGCCATATCCTTCGAACCCTTGCGCAGGCGGAAAATGTTCCGTCGTACGCTACGGCTATCCGCTATAGCGATCTTACCGGGTCAGCGTCTATATCTGCGAAAAAGCGCAACATGATCCACAGCGAGGCGACCACCATTGCTACTTGGCTTATTTACCTCCGCACGTCTCAATCAAGTACCAACGGCGGCGGTACGCTCCAGTTCACGAAGGACCCGGACCCGCTAGCCAAGCATACTTCGAACCGACGGCATCGTTGTAACATACGAGCACTTGCGGTGTGAATCCCCTAGCTATACGCTTCCACCTCTTTCATCCCTTCCATTCAAGTTCCTTCTATCCCTTTCGTCCCTTCCATCCTTTTATTCCATCCCCTCCCGAAATGACGCCACGCTTTTTCTTCCAGACAACCAACCATTCTCTGCAGACTTTCTTTACTACATCCTTGCCTGTTCTACCGCCTTATTTCGCAAGGCTCCTGGCCCCGCCCCCCCCCCCCCCCCCCTAGATGGAGGTTATCTTACCAACCTGTTGTTGGACACTGGAAGGAGCGTTGGGGCGCATGGATTTTGGTGCATGCGTCGGAACCACCACAGAACACAGGAACCGGAGTGTGACCCGACAATAAGAACCCAGGGAGCTCAAATTCCAACCTTAACTTGATCAGCTTCTGCGATGTCTTCCTCGGGTTCAGGAGAACCGTTCTCCGATTCGTTGTAAATCATCTCATTGAAGTGGTTTTCCAGGGATGAATCGAAAAACTTGATCTCGTCGTACACCCCGTATTTGGCACTGAGTTTGGATAGTAAAGACTTCCAGTCTCCGTTCTTGTCCTCGCTACTAGCCAGGTTACTGATGTAGTCGTAAATGTAGTCCGGGAAGGGAGGCATCAACTTCGTCTCAAATGCCTTCAACTCAAGCAATTTCGCTTGGGTGCCGTCAATGTCAACAATATGCGATGCAACACAATCCTCGACCGGGTCGTGGGCCGCTGCGGCCACTTGCAGAGCCAGCGGCAGCAGGCGGTCTACCAGAAGTTGGTGCGATCACTTGCACATCGATTAGGCATTCTGCTGGAAGAGAGGGAGGAGTACATCCTGGCTCGTATTCGTCGTGCTTGCGCCCCAGCTCCCGGCTACTTTGTTGTCTGCGGTGCGCGTTTAGGAGGCGCTACCCGCTGCTGAGCGCGAGGGCACCCAGGCCACTCACGTGTGGCGCCGAGTACACCAAGTACACATCACTCAGCAGAGCGCACGGCTTGTCATATAAGAGTGCTCGTCCCGTCAACCTCTGTCAAGGTTGACTGGATCATCAATCAATGTCATACCAACCTAACGTCTATCTTGCTTAATCACCTGCCGTCCGCCGCGCCCAGGCGGCGCGTACTGCTGCTCAGCAGCTCGCAGTGGCGTGTGCCACCCTCAAGGCTGAGGGTCACGCCAACGTCTCTGAGATGACTAGGGCAAAGGACTCCATGTTTTTCCGGGTAATTTGTGACGAAGCGCAATTTCTACGTAACCGACACTCGGTGACATTCCCATGGATTTCCCTACTAGAAGTACCGAAACACGCCCTCATCATCGTATCGGCCATCCCACTCGTCAACCACGTCACCGATCTCTTTGCATATGCCTCTACGATCTAAGCCAACGCCAAACTGGCCCATCACATTTCCAGAAGATTACGAGGGCGGAGCGCTCGTAAGCTTGGAAACGTTCAATCACACCAAGGGAACCGATTTGCTTGCCAGTTCTCAGATGCTGCAGCCAGTTCATGGTGCTTATGTGAGGGTTCGTTGAAGCGAGAGCGTGGTTGATCTGGGGAAGAAGGATTCTTACTAAAAAAAAGAAAAAAAATCAAAAAATAAGAAACCATCTTGAAATACCTGACCAAAAGCCTCGACCACCAATGTGTAACCTTTCACAGCGCTCCTTTCCCCCCAGCCCGGCAGATGATGGAGAGTGGGGAGCCTTTTATCTATAGTCGGGGGATCTTGCCGAGATAGTATGGCCGTAAAGTCAGGTGCGACTGCGAGGTCCTCCGCGCAACGTTGCCACGTTGGATGATTCGGCAATGGTCGCGGATACCTTGGCTAGCGCGGTCTTCTGATGATGAAGCCTTCAAGCGCGTCGCACCTCACAGTGAGTCAGCGCATCGTGCTGGTTGGCCTTGGCCGTCAATATGTCGATTCTTTTCATCGCGTAGTCGAGCTTTGCGATGGCTGCGTCAAGCTGCTCTTGAAATATCTCCCGCTTCTTTTGCCTTTTGGTTGAACCCTTGGCGGGAATGTCAGCTGTGCACTTTTGGATGGGCGCGTTGGCGATTGGTTGAATTTCGATTGCGTTTGGTTCGACTGCGAAAGGACTCGAGATGGCCGTCGTGACTTGAGGAGGGGCGATCGGTGTCTGTGCGATGGGTAGTTGATCGGGGGGTGGTCGGATGAAGGCGGTCCGGGAACCGGCATGCAGCTTGCCGGGCAAGGTGCAGCGGCCGGGCGAAGCGCGATCAACGAAATGAATAGAAATGGATTTCAAGAAGAAATCCAATGGTACAGTATAGTGACAGTTCAAATCAACTGATTATTGGGCACCATTGTGAGATGAAATGGGCCGTGGACATGTGGATGATTTGATGGTATTGTCTTCTCTCATTCTAACTACTGTTGGAGGTTTCCAGCGTCAGGTTTTATACCCAGATGCGTGGGAAGTTGAGCGCCCTGTTGGGCTTGCCCATTTGAGCAGTCGTCCCGACTGCCAACCTTCTTCGGGCTGCTCCTCTCACAAAAAAAGTTCCAACTCTCTTTCGTGGTAAGATGCGAGCGCAGCTGCGCTGGTAATCCGAAGAAATACTCGGGGTCGCGATCCCTACAAGAATACAGCTTCGCAGCAATGTTCACCGCTCAACGAGAGAGGTGCTTGACAGCGTTTATCAACAACATCACCGGTACAGGTTCTGTAGATGCAGTTGTGTAATCTCTCGCTATGGGTAGCTCGGAAAAAGGCGTGTGTGAGAAGTTCATTCTCCCCGGTCGAGAGCCAGTCGGAAGGGAGGAGGGACAACACGCGCCGAGGTGAGTAATAATAATCCAAAGAGACAGATCTTTGCCCATGTACTACTTATGTAAAACACATTCTGAGATCGGAGTACTCCAAAGTCCAGGTCCTCAATCTCAGGGTCTATCGTCAAGATAAAGGTTGGGCGTCTCGGCAGTGAGGAACTGTCGCCGCCAAGGGGTCTTCTTCGCCTATCCATTCAGCCACCTTCTCTCATGATACTTGGCCAAAGCATATTGTCCGTCGAAATTGTTCATGTATCAACGCCGTAAGCTTTTCGAAGGTGTTTCCATACAAGACACTTTGATACTAACGGCCCAAATGCGAAGATCATTATCTATCTAAGGGTATCAGATTGGCAAGTCGGAAGAGGCTACACGCGCTACAAAAGACATCTTCAATAGAGGTCACTTCAAAAATAAGCGATCATGGCCCACAAGGTCTGGTACCGTTGCTTTATTACTGCCAGATAGAAGTGGACATCATAGCCTGGAAAATTATGTTCACCAGTTGATCGATTTATGTAGGCCCAACTACCGTAAACAGCCACCTCACAAAAGACCCAGACTCTCGGGGCACCTACCGTGCTGAAACTATGTCTGAACGTCGCGAGCCTATTTATGCTCGACTGGCGCTTGTCTCAGTAACCTTTACGTACCGAACCCTTTTCCCACTCAGCGTATTTTCTGACATCGGAGCGTTGATGACAGAGGCTGAACTCTTTTGCCTGAAAGGGGGAAGCGGGTATTCAGACCTTATGCCCCACCCAACACTGACTGTTCTCACTCTTCATCCCGGATCACAATTACCTACCAACAACGACAGCAGCACCACCTTCACCATAATGGTTGTCACGAGTTCAACCGCCTAGCAAATATGTACTTCTCACTTCTCGTCACCCTCCGGGCCTAAGCCTCCCTCGCTTCTGCTCGCTCGCCCACCAAGCCCAACGCGAACAGGTACAAGGACACGGCGCGGTATTTACACCCGCCGCGGTCTTCCTTACTCCCTTCGATTATTCCTTGATCCAAAATGCAATAAGACAACTCCCACCTCTTCCTGGCCGTCATTGTTGCCATCCAGTAACCTTCTGAACAGCAAAAACGGCAGCTACACCTACGTCAAGTTCGGTCTCGGCAACGTCACATTCGACGGCACCACCAACTCGGTCTACTTCAACCACAGAACCAATAATGGAGCGGAAAACCGGAAACGGCGGCAGCTACACGGACACCCGGCTCGGCTCGATCCAGCTCGGCGACAATGGTAACGCTGACGAGGGATGTGTGAACATCAACAATGTGTTCAATGTGAGAACTAAGTGCCTGCGGAGCACAGGCTGCGGTTGATTGGGTGTCCTAGTTGGGGAGAGATACATGTTTTGGAGGTTTGAGGTCCATCTCAATGGGAGCTTGGGTGTGTGGGATGTGGTGAGGGGGTGATAGGGGGCAGTGACAGGTGCTCGAAGGGGGAATCACGCAGTGGACGAAGAACGTTGGGTTTTGTTGGCTCCATAGACATGTCTTGTCGTCGTTGAGGGCACGAGTTGGATGCGCTGGATTGATGAGCTTGAGATTCTCGTGAATCCATCAATGGCAAAGCCAGGAAGAGAAACAGAACTTCTCGCGGCAGGTTGATCATGGCATGACGGGCAAGTGTACAAGGTACTTAATCACCTAGCACATGCAATGTCGACCCTCTCGCCTGCTTGCACCTTCACCCATCCTCAACCTGACTTCGCACCTTCCACGAAAAGTTTGACACTGCTGAAAGAAAACATCGGGCTAGGTCATTTATGTCTCCATATCGGTCATGTCACCATTAGGTAACATCAGGCTTGCAACGAAGGAAGGCAGATAACGACCTCAACACAAAGGAGATCAGGCAACAGCGCTGACCGATATTGGAAGTTCCCGATAGTCAAGAGCCCCGGGCTTCCATTACCGCAACATACTGTAGGTACGCTAACATCAACACAAGCAAACAGACCACTGGGCGCACGCTCAGCGTAATCTCCGTTATCGGCCAGGAACACCGCGCTTTCCCTCTCGGCAACACTGGACAAGACCAGATTCGCAAATACGAGTCTGCGCCTTCCCCCAAAGAAGTCGATCGTGATGACAGAAGCATGATCTGACCATCACCAGCACCCGCTTTCGGTTTTTGAATGTTCTGTTTCCCTCGAGGCACTAGGTTCCATCCCGTGTCGCATGTCCTCTCACACACCTCAACTTTTCGCGACTCTCAGTTTTCTTACTTCTCGTTCAGTCGTCTCGCGATCTCCTCTGCGGCTGCTCTTCAATTATTTCAATACTCCAAGACAGCGCCGCTCCAGCTCTCCATTCTTTATGAGCGTCCCGTCGGATTCTTACCCCGGCCCGGTTCTGCTTCAATCTCCAGCTTCACCGACCTCCAGCTCACATTTTCTCGACAATGTCTCTACCATGGCTCCAGGTGGTCGACGCCTCGGAACGACTGCCTGATGACACGAAATGGGAAAACCACGATGAGTTTACCTTGTGGAAGCAGTGTAAGCTACGAGGCATGGAAGGTTGTGTGAAGAAAGAGGGAGATGCTCTCAGGGCCCTAAATGCGCTGAAGAATTACAAGGTGAAATGGTGGTGCTCCGACATATTTGCGGGTATTGATGGAATCGACCTCCCTGGAGAGATGGTCGAAGGAAAAGGATTAGCATCATTAACCCATTTCGTGGAGAAGCAAACCATCCAGGTTCTTCGCATCGAGGAGTGTAAAGTGCCAAGAAGTTCTGTACCAGAAATGATTATAGAGATGTCAGATGCTACTGTCAGGATTGGTCGAGGAAAAGCCTGCAGCTGTGGTTTAGAGGTTGGTTCTTGATCTGTGAAGAGAACGACTGTTCGGACAGAAGAGGCTGACGTATGCGTCGAATGCAGTTCAACACTGGGTATCTTCATCGACATGACACCTGCATTCACATACTCTGTCAGTGGCCAAAGAAAAAGAAGAAAACCCTCTATCAACAAGTGAATGCTGACATTGGCGCGTTTAGACCTTGAAAGAAGGGTCTTGAAGTGCCCTGAACACCTTCAAATGGTAGATTGGCTCGGGGGCAGCAAGTGGGAAGAATATTTCGCGAACGCACCGCTTGTCTTCAAGCCCCGTATACTTGCAGAAGGCCAAGCCCTAAGCCATACAATCGACGACAATGAGTGCCAACTCTGCTTCCAGGAAACCAGAAATAGCGGCTGCATCGTTAAATGCAGGGTTTGCCAACGCGTTGCGCACCAGCATTGTCACGACATCTACCGCATGCGCAAAGCACCATGCGAAGAAGACACTGGATGTCCACTGTGCTGTCCGCAATGCCCATGGAACCCCATCAATCAAGGTGATGTCCCGTCAACAGCAACGGCGAGGAGGAATCGAACGTTGGAAAAGAAGGTGCGCAAGCTCCAACGTCAGCTCCGTCGAAAGCCGGCCAGTCGTGTTATGTCTTCCCTTCGTTATGAAAGGCTGGCGAAAAAAATTGGGAGGAAGGGTACAAAGTACAGAAGAAACAAGCTGATCATGGCGGTGAAGAAGGCTGTTAAGTCAGAAGATGCGCAGACGAAACATGAAGACAAGGCTGCTGTCCTCAAAGAGGAGATGGAATCCCCAGTGAAGATCATCAAGGTTGAGAAAACGAGGAGATTGAAGTCTGAACCGGTGGTCATTAGCTTGCTTTGAGATGGGGCTGCGTGCAGGGGCTGTAGGACACACGGGGATGTTGAGATTGGTTATTTTGTGGTACTTGCCTAGTGATCTGCCTGCCTGGCAACAGCAGGTCTTCGATTTTTGATGGAGAATGTCTAGTGCAAAGATGGAAGGGAGAAATGTTATGTTGAGAATTTGGTTTCATGGTGTTCTGTGGTAATAATGGTATTCCATATGAAGGCGGGTATCTCATGCTAAGTTTGAAGTCTTGTTGTACTGCAATATGTACAAGAACTCTGAATGTTGAAGGTTGAAATGAGTGATTCCGACATCCATCGGTGATATGTGCAATGCACGATGGTAGTCGGTGTAACCTCTGAAAAAGGGAGTGTTTCTCCTCGTGCTTTCCCACCAACACCAGCTCAGCCCCTCAACAAGCCAAGCAACGCACCAGCACCGAAAGCTGCTCCAATGGTCAAGAAGCTTGACGTGGACAGGAGCGAAATACCGCTGATACCATGACCAGAAGTGCAACCGCCCGCCATCCGCGAACCGATGATCATCAAGAAACCACCCAATCCCGCGGCAACAGGCGACACGGCAACCTCGGTGACCTGGCCCAGAGCAGGGTACGCAACCGTCAACAGCTTCGCACCCAACACGCAGCCGCTGACAAACAACAAGTTGTTATACCTCTGCGGCAGCGTCTTGCCCTTGAAGATACCCCAGAACCAGTCGCCCACCTCCTCAAAACTCGTCGAAGTGCCCACCAAGTTCTTCCTTAACAACAAACTCAGCAGTTGCGCGCCAGCAATGCACAATCCACCCACAACAGGCGAGATCTTGGCCTCGGGTCCCACGCTCGTCCACAACGCAGTAGAAACCACCACGCTCGCGCAAATCGTCTCAAACGCCACCAAAACACTCGACCTGGACACACCCAGATTCTCATAAACAGTCTTGGTCAGTTCCTTGCTTTCCTCTCCCTTTCCACTCGCCTTGGCTGCGGCTTCGGCCTTGGCAGCCGCGTTACGCTTGGCGATCCAGGGCCCCACAAAGCCGGTAAAGACAATGCCGCCGATGATGCCGCCTTCGAGAGCGTAGAAACCCGAACGGACGCCGGTGCCGATTTGGGCGAGGACGGTGCCGGGGCAGGCGCCCGAGAGCATCATGCCGGTGCCGAGAAGGATGCCGCCGAGGAGGTTGCCGTCGTAGCGGGAGAAGAGGGAGATGGAGGAGTAGGAGCGTGGGGAAAGGGGGAAGGTGGTGGGGGAGATGGTTTGGAGGAGGTGGACTAGGGCGCTATATTATGAAGAGCAAGTAGTGTTTGGTTAGCGGAGGTGATTTGGAAAAGATGGGTTGGACGGAATGGAAGGGAACCTACGCAGAGCTGGCGGCCGCAGTGAGGAAAGCTTGGATCATGTGCCAGTTCTCAAACTTGAGTTGAGAAACGATGACGGAGGGCTGGTAGACGCCCGAGGCCGTAAGGGCCGCGCCGAAAGCGGCGCCCGTGACAAGTGTGTTCATGTTGTGTTTTGTTTCGTGTCGGGTGTATGACACTCGAGTGAGTGTATAAGATGGCTGGCTGGTTGGTCAGAGATTCACAACTTTGTTATTACTTCCAAATATGGCGAAGCAACACTGATGAATGGAGCTTGAACCAAAAAGAGAAGAGAGCAAAACTGGCAAGGGAAGAAGAAGAAAAAAGAGAAAGGCCGAGAGATTTTTTTTATTATGCACAAACGGACACTAGTCACTCCCGTCATTCAAGGTGGAATAAAGAAGAAGGGCTCCGTATCGGCGTCCATTATAGCGCAACACTAACAATGCGGGAACTCGGAAAGCGACGATCGGAAGTCCACCCTTTACTTTGCTGGGCCGGGGTGTAGAACTATGTAGGTGCTCGCCGATGAGGGCATTGCGGGCACCACGGACACTACGGGCACTACATACGGGCACTAACAGGGGTGGGCCTGTGCCGGCAATCGCTTCATTGTTTTTTTCCTTTGGAGGCGGTTCCCTTTTGTCGATTTCCCTGCAAATCGGGCGCTGGGTCACCGGGCGGGTTCGGTGGGTCACAAGGTGGTTGTGACATTTGGGGCCAGAATTAGGCAATTCTCCAAAGCGGGCCAGGCGGGTGTCGGGGAGACTAACCGAGCCCTAACAGGAGCTAGCAGTTGATTGAGCTGGATTGCAGGGATACTGATAGTGCTCAGTAAGCCTCCGATCGGTCTGGGTCTCGGGACTGGGCACCAAGTGTCGTAGGTCAGTTTACCAGCCGTGTTCCGGTCCTCCCTTGTCTGGTCTGGACTGCCGAACGAGGAGCTTGCCCGAACGTTTGGGCATGGAGTGTTCCCACATCTACACTGTCTTGGGACAGCTTCCTTGAAGTGTTCTTTGATGGTGTCAGTGTGGCTGGCTTGATGCCTTGGAAGGTCACTTGGATTCGACGGCATCCCCCGGGATTTCCCAGATATGTGATAGAAACCACATAGATGCATATCCCTCATGATATCGCGACGCCAAGATAATCGAAAAACCGAAGACTGGCTGGCGGGTTTTGCTTCTTCTTCTCGTGGCGCGCACGTGTGAATGGTTGATGGAGATGGTGATTAGAGGAGACTCGGCCAATTGCCGACTCCCTGGGTTTTGAGAGGTTGAGGCTGAGACACACGGACAAAAGGGTAGGATAACATTGGAATGAGGCGTAAATGGAACGATTGCAACACTTGGGCGCGGTACATAGTGCGGATAATCCGAGGCAAAAATGGAAATGGCAACGGCGAACACCAAATTCACTGAAGGAAATGCGGTGATGGTGGTCGGCGATCTCGGTTGATGTTGTTGAAAGGAGAGAGAAGTTGAAAACCCCGGAAACCCTCGACTTTGCCCGCAGTGGTTATGTACCTGCCTTGGTCGGGTCGGCATCCCAGTGGAGCCCGTTCCAATCCAATTCGCTGAGAAATCGCACAAGTCAAAAATTTCCCCGCGAAAATGTTCTGGACGGCGACGGCGACCCCCCTGTTTCCCGCGTGTCACTTTCAATCCCTGTTTCGCCGCCTAACTGACTTTCGGGAACCTCCACAACGACAACGACGACAACCAGCATCTCCTCTTTCAGACATCGCCGAACAACCCCTTTCCGATCAACAACCCAGTGTTCCTTGACCAACCCCCAATAATGAACGAAGCGAGGATAACCCAAACCCAAAACATTGTCGCCGTCCTCTCTGTCGGGCTACACTAGACTTTGGAATCATGCACAAACACTGCATCCGGGGGCGCGCTCTAGGCGGCGACGGGACGGCGCAATCACAATCAGCCGCATGGACGACCATAGGTTAAACCACCCCGCTCCCCTTGCTCATTGGATAGTTTAACCCTTCCCATCAGTCCATTATGACCTACATGGTATCTGGCCAGATCCATGACCCTGAAATCACCGGAACCATGGCACGATTTGTACGTATCCGCTCAAAAGTCGCACAAATCTCACGAATCGGTTCGATCGCCGAAGAAAGAATGTCGCCGGTGACTTTGGTGACTTGTCCCTTTTGGGAAAGGGGTGCTTCGTATCGGGGATCTTGTTTGATGGCCGTGAAGGTTTCCGGGGAATTCAAGATGGAGACGACAGGAGTCGGGCACCTCGTAGGGCGATTGGTTGTGACGGCGACCTCTTTTCGATGCTATACGGGGACTTGGATCGGTACGGCGTTACTTCGAATTCTTTTCGGGCACCTCATCTGCGGAGACGGCGACCTGCTGCTTGACTGCCGACGATCCACTTGATGCTGTTCGGGGATCTGGGGAAGGTACAAAGGTACTCGTCGGGGACCTGTTGACGCTCAGGGGCCCCTATCCATACGGCGACTTCAATGGTCCGACTTCGCGATGCTTTTGAACTGCCCATTCTGTCGTCATCAAGAGCTTCATGAGGGGTCGAGGTGTGGTGGCGGTTATGCGAGAGCTCGCTTGGCACTTATTCAGAGATTTGTCAGTTGCGACGAAGTCATTCACACGACGACGGCGACGACGAGCTAGGCTAGACAACCAAAGGCCAGTGGTGACTGAGCTTCAGGCGAGGTTTGAGCTCGGGCACTCTGATGTGATGGACCAGGCACAAACTGCTCATCAAAGCTTTGACGGTCTGACAGGTCCGGGGAAGACCCATGAGGTTGCGGTAACGTCCGTCAAGGAGGTCACCGGCTCGCCGACGAGTTGACCTACCAACGCATCCAAACTTGAATAGGATATATTCGGGCCAGGCACTTTCGACAGCTCCGGGGAAGTCTCATGGCATCAACCTATCACGGGGAGGATCTTTGGTTACCGATGAGGTCGTCAACCAGCATGAACGGATCCACACAAGCTTACAAGAAAGGTGGAATCTCGCGGAGTGCCAATTGGGCTCATGCTAGAGTGGTCCCCGCGGCTACCCCGGACTGGACGGCGTGGATCGTCGAACCGCTACGGAGAAAAGTCCGCGGCGACCTGTTCAATCAGTGCTATAAAAACCGCATTTCCCTCCCTGGTGGACACCTACGTGTTAATTCGGCTGGATAGTGGCCTGGTGGACCTCGAGTTTTAGATGAACGCCGGCCAGTCTATGCTTTATACCACCAATCATGAGCAAGGGGCAATCGGCGACCACTTTCTGTGCCTTTACATGGTTACCTATGACAAAGGAGGTCTCCCTATTCACCGATAGGACGGGATGAGGTACCTACTCTGGACCCATGAACGTCGACAGCCTATATCCTCGCTGAGTGGCACTACGGCTCATGTGGACCGACAACTGGTCATATTGCCCTTGACGGGATAGCCTGGACGGCGACCTGTTAGGCGAAGTGTCAAGGGACATTGCCATGCCGACCCTGTTTCGTATTTCTCCATGGGAACTAGAGTTCCAGATGAACACCGGAGGTCTACTACATGGCATTCTCGATCTTGTAAACCGATTTACCCGTGTATTACCTCGTGCTGTCAAATATAGGCAAGGTAGTGGTCGGCGACCACTTTAAGTACGTACCCTCTCATCTGGTTATTGTAGTATATTTCAAAAAGGTCCCCGACTCGCCGACGCGTTCGGCGTTCAATACGAGTTCACCCAAGAACGCCCACAGCGTGCATCATCGCCGAGTGTCTAGTCTAGTGGCTCATGCCATGCTGGACTGGTGGACCCCGACGCTACCCCGGATTGGACGATATGGACGGCGACCTCTTTTCAACGGTTTTCTGACCCATTCTTCTGGTTGTGGACTCACACGTGTTGACCCGGTCTGCCGAACCAGTCAGAGATGGAAATCGACTGGTTCACGCCACCCATGCGTTGTCGATCCCCTTATGCCGTTTATCATTAGCATGTTACAGGTCGGCGACCACTTTGTTGTCACCCCTTACGGAGTTGTCCAATCATCGAAAAGACCCCTTGCTGACAAGAGCAGCCAAGGGTATCGGAAAACAGTATAAGCATGCACCGTCCGGTGAATAAACGAAGTCCCCGTCAAAGGACCAGACCGTCAGGGACCGACTTCCGGGAACGTGATGGAGTGGCCGACTATAGGACCCGTCCCGCCCCGTGCCTCCGAGTTCCGGGCCCGACCGCCGTGCATGGAAGTCCATCCGGCCATTGTCCCTGCCGACGGGTTCGGTGACCTAACTGCGATTGGCATAAGGTATTTGTCCGATCTGATATTGACATCTCCATTAGATTGAACCTAATTCCGAAACTGTTTTGTTCTCTTTGGCATGAACGAGCCCCTTACAAGCAAGTCCAGCAGTCGGCGACCACATTCTCGATCATGGTATACGCCACGAAAAGGGTCAACAACATCTGACACGAAATGGATAACGTCCGGGTACTGAATACCGCTATCTCTTGACCCAACCGTCCGTCCTCAAACGTTATAAAGAAACCCGTGCAATAGTTCACCAATCCTCCAAGTCACTCACCAAGAGAATCGATAACCACACAATCACCACGCACAGGCAACATCTCCATCCATCAAACTCCAACCCATCCATCCATCCACAAATGTCCTCATCAACCCCTCAAGACCACGAACCCCTAATCCACCCCCTCTTCGACCCTGCAACCTCAACATTCACTTACCTCGTTGCCTGCCCCTCCACCCTCCACGCCGTGGTAATCGACTCCGTCCTCGACTTCGACCCCGCCACCTCCCGTATCTCCACCACCACCGCCGACTCCCTACTCTCTCTCATCCGTTCCCACAACTACAAGATTGTGAAAGTCCTCGAAACTCACGTGCACGCCGACCACCTCACTGCTTCTCGCTATCTGCAAATTCAACTGGCTAGTGATGGTGCTGAGGATGAGAAAAATGGGAGTATCAAAAAGCCCGAGATTTGCATAGGCAAAAGGATTGTGCCAGTCCAAGAAAGGTTTGCGGAGAAGTACGGGATTCCCAGGGAGGAATGGGAGGGGGTGTTTGATAGGGTGTTTGAGGATGACGAGGAGTTTCCTGTGGGAGACTTGAAGGTCAAGGTGAAGCATTTGCCGGGGCATACGCCGGATCATGTTGGGTATATGGTTGGGTGTAAGTTCTTTTTATGTTTTTTTGGGTGTGTACTTGGATAGGGGTGGTCGATGCTGACGATAGAGCCTTAAAAAACGGACGGACAGCGAATATCTTTTGCGGCGATTCCCTCTTTGATCCTGAAGTTGGGTCCGCGCGGTGTGACTTTCCTGGGGGCAATGCACACGCACTGTAAGTTTTCTTTTTTTTTTTTTTTTTTTTTTTCCCCCTCATGATCCCTAACCTCAAACCCTTACACTAAACTAACAAACCCCTTCCCTCCCCACAGATACAACTCAGTCCAAACCCTCTTCTCCCTACCCGCCCATTACAGGATCTACACAGGCCATGACTACCCTTCCGCCGACTCCCGCTCTCCTCAGCCCTACACCACCATCGCCGACCAAAAGCGGCTGAACAAGCACCTGAAAGAGGGAACAACAAAAGACCAATTCGTCCACTGGAGACAGGAGCGCGACTCGGGACTGGCGGAGCCGAAACTCTTGCACCAGGCGCTACAGGTTAACGTACGGGCGGGGAGGATGCCAAGGGATGGGATGCTGAAGGTGCCTTTGAAGATGCCGGGAGGGTGGAAGTTATGAGACGCTGAAGCCCCGTCTTGGTTGACTACCTGCACGTTTGTAGGTGGTCGAGTCAGGACGAAAGAAACATCTTTGCGCGTCTGGAGGAACGCTCTAAGTGCCGAAAGTCACAGGGATGGGACCATATATTTATAAGAGTCGGAAGTGCTTGTTACAAAGCGGTGCGTGCCCGGAGTAGCCTGGCTATCTTCTAAACTGCAGCTTGTTCCGCTGATCAAGTGTGACAGGAAATGAAAAATGTCCAAATACCAAAACCAGCCATGTTATATCCGCTTATTGTCATCCCTTATCCCGTTTCGCGGTTGGTGCTCATGTCGAACTTTCTTCTTTCGCCTCAAATTTGTAACATTTTCCGTTCTTCAGGTATTTTATTCTCATTAATTTCGGTTTAAGAGACTCATCCTTCATCTCCTCCTCTTCGCTTGGTTCGTAGGCCCCTGACAGTGGCGGTCCTTGTGACTCAGTCCACTTTTCCCAACTCTCCTTTTCCTGACACACGGCGCATTCTTTCGCATCAGGCTTGGGATGTCGCAATCGTAAGAAGTCGAGCGTAGGCGTATCCTTTTTGAGACAGTCTTGATGGACCAAGTTTCCACAGCCAAGGCAGGGCTGAGCGCAATTGCCGCCGTTTATCGACCGGAAACAGTTGACGCAGACCAGCAGTTCGTCTTCTTTGGGGGCATATATAATCACTTCGGCTTCGCCTGGGATTCTGTCTAGGACTTTGCGCCAGTCTTCATTGGGAGATTTGGCGTTCCGGAGGGCCTGAGCTGGGTAAGAATGGGCGAAAATACTATCGTATTCCAGTCGAGTGAAGGCATCACGGAAGGGAAGTTCTTTGGGACAATTGAGGATAAAGCGAAGGACATCTGCTCAGCTAAACATGTGAGTGCCAGGTTTTTCTGCGACAGGATGTTCGCTCGCATCTCCGACTTGGTGGGGGGGGGGGGGGGGGGACTCACATATAATATGTTCGCAGTAATCGTACATACGTTGGCCCTATAATTGGCACATCTAGTCAGAATGTCTGATCAAAAAGGATAGATCATGGCAGAGACTCACGTAAAAGAAGCGACACATACAACTACAGCCCTTCAAACCAATGCGTACGCCGATTTCACCCTTGCGTTCTGGCGGAGGCCCGAGCCAAAAAAGCGTCAAGCACGATGGATCGGCAATTGTTCCCAATCTTTCGGCGCCCAGCAGAGTATAGTTGTATTTCTTTGCTTCACACAGGTATTCGTCGTAGTGGTTGTGGTTCTTTATGTGGTGTACCCAACACGAATTCACATCCCGGTAGGGCAGACCGAAGTGTTTCATCAGGTCATTCAGAAGTTCGACCGAATCTTTTGGTATATCCTCCTCGACATGAAGTTCAATGTCGAGCATCCTGCACACCGCCCTGAGTCCGTACAGCGCCTCCACGGACCAGTGTTCGGTGTCGTCCATTGTGTGCCAGTCGGGGGGGAATGAACGCTCCTTGAACGGCATGGCTTCTTTGGGCTCGCGTAGAGAACGATGCGATGCGTAAAATCAGTTGCTGATAAGCGAAGTCGGGCAAGAATGGTCGAAATATTGTCGTTGATGTCAAGACTGTGGAGAGGACGTGATCGAGAGAAAGGTTTGATGCTCGGGCGACCCAAAAAATTGAAAAGAATGAACGGCTTTACAGATGTTGAGCGGTAAACCGAAGAACAAACAATGGTGGCGAAGAATAACAGACGATGGAGGAAGACATATGGCGCAAAACTGGCCAGGATCAGGGAGAGTTCATATAGAAGCCAAACGCTTGCCGCATCGTACCTGCTATTCCCTCCAAGTACCAACATAAACGGCGGGAAAACTCACACCGGTACCACCACACATCGGATACCTTCCTATTTTGTTTTTGTCTGACCATTTCGCTTGAGTTTGGCCGACTGCAAGGCACCCGCCCAGGAGGCCCCGAACAAGGAAAGTGTTGGTTCATCAAACCAACACCCGTTCCCAAATAGATTCCATTCTGCACCCTTTTGCACATTCCTCCCCTATTTGTATTTGCACATCAATGACGAAAACGCCAAAGGCAGCCCACCAGGTCTCCCTCAGAGCTTGATCCACAAAACAAACGATGCAGTGACCACCAGTTTGAAACCCTCAGTCTCGGTAAAGATCGAAGAAGCAAACCTCACCAATACGACCACAAGCCGCACCACTTCCCAGACACTCAACGATAATTCAATCACTGCGCAGCTTTCCAAACTCTAACAAACTTGCAACTTCCAAAAAAATCAAAATTCATCCACCTAGCAACGACCCACGTCATACACCCTTCCGTTGTACCTGCGATAATTACATGCCCTCCCTTCCGAACATCAATGTTTACAACCAACCACACTCCGGTAATGAACCCTTCATCCGAGCCGCATCTCCAACATATGATAACCATCATCACAAATAAGGGCGTGTGGCTCAGTTGGTAGAGCGTTCGCTTAGCATACTGACCTGTATGCGAAAGGTCCTGGGTTCGATTCCCAGCTCGTCCACTTCCCAAATCACCTTCACCTTCACCCATCTCCACTTTTCCTGCGGAGGGCGTGTGGCTCAGTTGGTAGAGCGTTCGCTTAGCATACTCACCTGTATGCGAAAGGTCCTGGGTTCGATTCCCAGCTCGTCCAAATGGGAGGTGTTCTGGTGAGATGGGTCTTCTTCGTTTTGTTTTTCTTTTCGTCTGTCGCCATTTTGTTCTTTGTTTTTCTTTTTTTCGATGTACCATTTCTATGTTGTATGTAAGTTGTCAGAATACATCGTTCGTGCGTCCTCCTTTTGCTCAATGATAATAGAGAGGGGAAAATATCGATCCTTTTTCTCGATGCTTTTAGTGCTCTACTGAGACTAGGTATGATCAGTTATAACCTCCTCACATCATTCTCCCCAGTGCCAGAAATGTTCACAACTTACTCTTGTCCTGGTCCTCCTTCCCATCAATCAAAACCACCAACTTGCCAAACTGTTTTCCCTCCTTCATCTCCTCAAACAACTCATCAATCCCGCTCAAATTATCCAGTCCCTTCACCACCTTGCTCACCACCGGCCTGATCCCCTTCTCTCTCACAAACGCCACCATATCCTCAAACTCCTTCCTACTCCCCATCGTCGACCCCTTCAACTCCACATTCTTCAGCACCGCCTGCATCAACCAATCCATCTTAGGCGAAACCGTCATGCCATAACTACTAATCACGCCTCCCGACTTCAACAGCTTGACACTCCTCGCCACCACGTCCCCACCAGCACCATCCACCACCGCATCCAGATACGGCCTGTCCTTCGGCAACTGTTTCATCAACTGCTTATCCCAATCCTTTTCCTTGTAAATGACACCCCCCTTGGCTCCCATTTTCTTCGCCTTTTCGATTTTCTCCGCGTTACCAGACGTCACAAAGACATTACACCCCATTGCCACCGCGAACTGCAACATCTGCAAAGCCACACCACCCCCAATTCCCGTGACAAGGATATTCTGCCCCGGCTTCGCCTGCGCCTTGGTCACCAACGCCCTCCACCCCGTTAGTCCCACGAGCGGCAGCGCGGCTCCCTCAGCAGCGCTCAAATGCTCTGGTGCGGGTACTGCCTCCGCCTCGGGAACAACAGTGTACTCTTGCCCCGTGCCGGCGTCGGTCAACTGAGAAGAGCCAATGACCGTCCAGGGCTGGTTGGGGTCGTCGGGCCCGTCGGGAGAGGAAATCCATCCGCGGCTGGGGGTGATGAGGACGGGTTTGCCGACGAGCTGAGAAGCAGCAGGGGAGACAGAAGGGCCGGTGGACTCGACAACGCCGTAGCCGTCGGCGAGAAAAGGTTGCTCGAAGGAGATGCCGGGGTAGAGGTGTTGGCGGATGAAGAGGTCGCGGTGGTTGAGGGCGCAGGACCGGAGGCGGATGAGAAGCTCGCCGGGGCCGGGGGTCGGTTTGGGGATGGTGTTTAGTTGGAGGCTAGAGGGGGAGGCCGAGGGTTAGTGATGCGGAGAGGATGAGGAGAGTGGGTGGGTTGGTTGGTGGTAATGGGGATATGTATGAGAGAAAAGAAAGGTGAGATAAATGTAAGGGGCAGAAAACAAGACACTTACGGGTAGTAAACCTGGCCGGGTTTACCGTCGATTTTCTTGACGGTGAGTTGGAGAGGCATCTTGGCGTTGTGTTTGTGTATGTTGGGTTTTACTGAGACCAATTCACTGAATGAGTGTTGAAGTATCTTCAAGAAGTGAAAGAAGGAAAGGAAAGGGGCATCAAGTTTAAATCAGTTGCGACATCGGAAAGATTTGTTATCAATTGGACCCGGGGAAAGGGGTGTTGTCACTCTGTCATTGAGCCTCTCCCCCGAACCCTGCCACCGACCAATGGCCGCCCCCACTCTCCCCCGCATTCGTTGCCGGATCCCGCTCCAATGATGCAACTGCCTCGGCCCGCGTTGTGATGCCCCTGGTTTGCGATCCGCCGGGGTGGAGCAGCCCGGTTGTGGTGCGGATCTGCCACATCGGGCTTTATTCGCGATCGTCATCGGGTTTTGTTTCGGCATTGGGTTTCGAAATGTCGAGAGATTCAAGAACCAACATCTTTTCTGGACGAATAATTTTTTTCGATAACACATTTGACAAAGGCTTCGGTGAAATTTAGCAACCAGATCACCCTTGGATCCCGGAGCAGAAGAAATCTCAATCGTCTGTTGAAGTATGGGTATCATGGGATTCCAGGATCCTTTCTCTTTCTCTTCATCATCGTCTTCCTCAACTCCATTTCCACCTCCACCGCTCCCATTTTTTGGATTGCGCCAATCGTACCAGCTCAGTCGCTCGTCTTCCTCTTCTTGGCCTTCTTGTCCGTCAACTCCTCGGGCGGCACATACTCCTTCTCGCGCTCGCGCTTCTTCTCCTCCTTTTTCTGCTTGGCCTTCTCTGCACGCTCCTGCTCCGCCACCCGCTGTTTGGCCTCCTTGCCGAGGAAATACTCGCCGGACTCGATCTGGAGATCCACCTTGCTCTTCTCGGGCGCAGGAGGGAAGGGTGTGTAGTTCTTCTTGGTCTTGTCGTTGACGACGTGGGGGACGCGGCGCTTGGAAAGCGTGCGCTTCTTGAAGTTGGGGAGGTAACGGGACCAGTCTTCGTGGGCGAGGGCGGGGTCCTTTGCGAGTTCGCGCTTGATCCTGTTTATTTTGTTAGTTACTGTTGTTAGGCGTCGCAAGTAGGGCATGCAAGGCGCAAAACTTACATTAACTCCTTGATCATGTAAATTGGGTGAACGTTGTTCATGGTGTCCTCAACAACCCTCCTGACCTCCTTCAGACCCTTGAAAGGACCCATTACCGACACTGTGTTTCCGTGCACGAGGATATATGTTTGTGTGAGAAGCTCGAGAGCTTTGAGTGTTGTGCCGTTCTGTCCGAGAATTCTTTGGCGCCTCTTGACGAAACGCTCCTTGTTCCGTACCATGCTGCGGATCTTGATGATGTCGCAGGCCATGCCGTCTTCGAGAATCTTGATCGCTTGGGGGGCTGGTACTGAACGGGCAAGCAACTTGATGAGATCACGGGCATTAAGGATAGCTGCGGGGTCATATGTCTGGACGTGAGTTAGCAAAGAGTGGTGACTAAGGGGTAACAAACGCATCCACCGTACCTTTCTTGTCGTCTTCACTGTCATGGAACCCTCCACCAAATCGAGAACTGCGGTGATGCCATGCTTGTCGAGGGCCTTGGTGATGAGAGGCCACGAGTCTCGTAGGTAACGCTCGCGGTACTTGGGGAATAGGGTCATAAACGAAGACTCCTCGAGGAAGGGGCCGGAGGATTCGTCCTTGGTGAAAGGGTCGACCTTCCACTTGTCAATGTCGTCTGTATCCCACGGTTTCTCCTTCTTGTGTGTGGACGGCATTTTGGCTGTAAATGTGTTTCTCTGTGCTCTTGTGGGTTGTTGATGTTTCGGGATTCTCAGAGGCCTCGATCGAGGTTGTGCGACAGGTCACAATATCAGGGCGAGCGACTTGGGTCTGGTGGTTGGATTTGATAAATGGCTTGTTGAAGGGATTGCATGGCAAGATGGCCAGCCGAACCGCGCTGCATGGATGGAAATTTTTGGAACACAAGCCTGCCGCAGCTGGCGAGAGTGGGGACACGGCGCTTTCTGCAGGTTGAGTTTCGGCTGCAGAGGCGCGACAGGATCAGCGGCCAGCTGGCAGATGCAGGGGCAGCTCCTTATCAGATAACTCGAACTGCCACTTGCAAGTTGCAACTTTTTGAAATTGAAATTTGCGGAGGACGAGATAATGATATTAAAAAAAAGATGAAAGAAAATAGGAAACGATTATTTCGATCTCATTGAAGTGGAAGCCTGGTTCTGTTATCATTGTCCTGCTGTCCTTCGCAACGAGCCTATCCAAGTACTCTTGGCCATCTGCTCCTTTCAGCTGTGTTTTTTCCCCCAGGTTGTAGATGTTATCTTATCTGCATACTAGCTTATCATGACAGGGGCTTGCACAGCACGGAACATCAACAAGAAATCACATGTGCTGGCGACATCCAAAGGTCTTGATATGCCATGGTGGGATTGGCGACAAGAGCGTCTTGACTTGCTGGGGTTTCAACGTGATTTGTATACTCCCAGCAGAGCCATTGTGAGATACCTGTACCGTCGGTAAAACCTCACCAAGGTGTTTAGTATACGCTGAAGTGATTGACGGTGAAGCGTCGAATCCCGCCCGAGACAAAGTTGACGAACTTGACAGCAGCAATTTTCAGATTCGCCGTGATAAAGTCGCGGTAAGGCTGGATAACGTCCGTCGTTGGTTTTCCAACTGAAAAACCAAGAAATCATCCCGGGTTCGCCCAATGAGAACCTGCAAAGATCTGACGACCCTGGCGCGCTGTGGTCATCATGATCGGGCAAGCACAATCTGCACTGTGGTACGCCACGGATTACAGCATTCCGTGCACGAGGTTTCGAAATCCATCAACCTTCCCCGTCAGAAAGGGGTAGGTTCGGTTTTGTGTCGCCAAGATTGAGGACTCCTTCCTTGCAACATCTTCCCCTTCTTTTTCTTCGGCCCCGCGACATTCTACACTATCATACCCTCTTCGATTTTCCCTTCTTATCCCTGGCGTCGGTCTTTATCCCGAACCCCAAGACTCCCAGGTATCGCTGCTTCTTGTGACCTTTGCGAAGATCGACGGCAATTCTCGTTGTCTATCCTTGAGAAGAAGCGAAAAGGAAAAGAAACAAACCCGCTCATCATAAAGCACGGACGTCATTTCTGGGACGTTGACCTCGACCACCACACACCCGCACCTCCCTCCGCCTGCGCAGTCTCGATCCCGAAGTTGGCAATCCCGGTCACGGGCCCACGGTCTCGCTCGCAATCCACCACGAGTGGGTCAATTGGCACCGACGCCGCCTTCAACCGCCGTGAAAGTCAAGCTGGCTTCGACTCGATCTCCGGGCCTTCTTCCCCTTATTCATCCGCAATATCCAACATCATATACACCACCCACCGATTTGGAGCTGCCTCCGGTTCGAGCCGTCATAATGGAGGATCCCACGACGCAACAGCAGCCCGCGGCGGCATCGCCATCCTTGCCAGTGCCGACCACGCTTGAACCTGAACCCATATCCCGACCGAGCTCGACGTCGACCCAGGCCTCGGTGCCTCAAAACATGTCGCATATGTTGCCCGGTATCGCATCCATTGCCACTACCACTACCACCACCACCACCACCACCGTCACCACCAACAACAACAATAACAACAACAACAACAACAACAACAATACGCCGGCGACAGTCACATCACCACAGCCTAGGTTAGTTTTCAGTCAATTGGGTTCACAGATGAAGAGGAAGAAGCAGTGGTACAAGGCGCATTAGCATTGGTGGCTCTGCTTGACACGTAACCGCGATGCGCCAACTCTTGCTGACATTGCAATGGATGGTAGACCCATGACCATGGCCGCTCCTCCCATGATTCCTCCAGGCACCTCTCCAGCTGCTAGCTCGCATCCAGGTCCAGGAGGCAACTTGGTAAGTCTACTCCATATTGGTGTTGTTGTATCTGTCCCCCTTATCGCGTATCGCATTATCCCAGTCGCGTCTTGCGACACAATCGGGCGGTTGGCAATGGATCAACGTCACGAAAAGCCGGGTTTGCTGAGAATGGCAACGATTGCCATTGGCCAAACAGCCGGGTTTTGGTGGAATTTTGGCTGCTTATCTAAGCCCCTCCATGGCCCGACCGGGTCGTTATCGCAACAGCCCACTTCTTTGGTGGTAACCTACTGGGCTGCAGCGCCCCAAACCTGGAAGCGGCCCCGTCAAAAAATTTCCTTATCATTTCCGTGCTTCGTTCTTATCAACATCCCTCCACGTTCTATCTCATTCACCAGCAGCTTCCACTTCCCGCCATTTATTTATCAAGGTTGGCTTATCGCCAGCATCTAATCGGCCTTCTATCTCTCCCTCGCGATACCATTGAGGTTCCCATCTCTTATCCGACAGCGCAGCTGCACCACCACCATCACCACCACCAACAACTGCAGCAAATATGGCGACAATGGCTAACCATGATCGCGAAACCACACAGCCCACGTGCCAGAACTGCGCGACCTCGACAACGCCGCTATGGCGCCGCGACGAGATGGGCCAGGTCCTCTGCAATGCCTGTGGTCTCTTCCTCAAGCTGCATGGCCGTCCACGTCCAATCTCCCTAAAGACCGATGTCATCAAGAGTCGCAACCGCGTCAAGACCATGCGTCCTGACTTGGCCAAGCAGAAAAAGGCAAGCCGTCCATATGTGTCTGACCTTGGCAAACTTCGTTCGGCAAACTAACTGTGTGTGCCCAGCAACAGCAGCAACAACAACAGCAGCAGCAGAACCTAGCTGCCACTGCCGACATGAACGGCGGAGTAGGCATGATGGATCCCAACAACCCTGCCGCTGCTGCCCGAAGAGCATCCCAGAAATCCATCAATGGCCACCCCGTCGACGATAACTCGCCCGTTTCGCGTACCGGCACCCCCAACGTATACAATCCGCACATTCCCATTGATCACAGCCTAGAGTACCAATTTCAAGCCCAACAGATTCCCGGATTCGGCGTCCCGACTGCGTCTCCCGGCCGAGCCCCATCGCCCATGAATGGCGAGCACATGCCACAAACCCACGAGCAGCTCCTCGCTGCCAATGCCAGCCTGAAGACCCGAGTCAGCGAGTTGGAGGTCATCCAAGAGCTCTACCGCGGTCGCCTTCACCAACTCGAGACGGAAGAGAATATTCGACAAGCTTCAGAGCCCGGCAAGCTCGAAGCCCAGCTTCGCGCCCAGATCGATGCCATGGGCGAAGCTCACCAGCAGCTGCAGAAGGAACTGGAGGAAAGTCACAGGAGGGAGAATATGCTCAAGAGGCGCCTTGATGAGCTCGAGGTTGAGCTCAAGGACGTCAAGGATGCTCTCGAGTCTCAGGATAATGGACGCCACAAGAAGATCCGCCTAGACGAAAACGTCAAGACCGAGCCCTATGCAGAAGTTGTTGAGCCACAGCAGCCGGAACAGCAGCAGCCAGCACCTGCAGAGCAGCCAATTCCTACCCCTATGGCCATCGACGAAGCCGCCCCTGCCCCTGCGCCAGCACCCGAGGCAGCACCTGAGCAAGCTCCGGCACCCGCGCCCGAACCCGTCCAAGAACAAGCCCAGGAGCCAGAGCCTGCGCCCGTTAGCGAGCCCACTGAGGCTCCAGCCCCAGCCCCAGCCCCAGAAGCCGATTCTGTTGTTCCCGAGCCGACCCCCGCCGCGCCGGAGTCTGCTCCCACCGAGGAGCCTGCCGCACCAGAGACTGAGGCCTCTGAGCCTCCCACCACCGCCCCCGCGGAAGAAGCTCCCAAGGCGGAGTCATAGTGTTCCTGCCGCCAGTGCTCTGCTTTTCTTTCTGGTGTACCAATGGATACTACTGCCTAAGAGTCTCCTGTAACATACTTGGCTTTTGATGGATGGATGGATGGATGGATGGATGGAAAGCGTGTCGTGTTAATGATTTTTATACTATCACCTGAGTCCTTGACTGGCGTTGTCGACAATGACTGGATTGAACTATCAAAAGTTGATGTGGTCAGCTAAAAAGAGGAATCGGGATGGTCATGCTCGGACAAAGATGGCTTGGTTGGGATTGCCTTGATTGATTGTTGATTACACCAATGATTGCCACTTGGTTTGGCTGGTTAGTCAAGTCTGACGGGGTTAGGGAGCTACGGAGCCATTTTCTTTTTTTTCTGACGATGAATGGGTTTATTGAAAATTTTCCTTGTTTGAACAATTTTCATTCTAGTCTGATGTTTCTCTTTAATATACCTCTCTCCGGCCCATCGCGGTGGCAGGATGAGGTTGCCTTTTATGGTATCTTGACCTTTGTTGTCGTTTTGCGTGGTGTTTACCGTGGGTGGCGCTTCCCAAAGGGGTCAGGAACGAATGATGAAGAAAACGTATTTCACCGATAAAAGGGACGTGGTTAAAGGGAAACTGAAAAGTTGCTTATGCTGGCGTCACTTTACTTTGATTTTGATTGTTCCGGTTCTAGGAACCATGCTGAAAAGAAATGGGAAAGGAAGGTTGACTTCGAACAATTCCATAAACAAGGCCATAAGGGACAGGAGGTTCGCAGAAAAAAACCAAAGGGCGATGAACAAAGACTGAGAGGCAATGATTTGATAGACAATTTCAAGCAAGGGTCAAGTGTGATTTTTTTTTGATTTTTTTTTTATCTTTAATTTTTTATTTTTTTTTTCTCCCAGAGGAAGAGTTGCATCATTTCGAGTGAAATGACATACAACTTGACATCCCTGGTTTTCAACGGAAAAATTAGTAGCGCTGCAACCACTTTCTCCCCGGCCATTTCTCTCATTATTACTTACTAGGTACCCTTCTTTTACTTCCGGTCTTTCCTTGTCCTCGTACCTAGACATGGAAACTTCCATTTGTAAGTTGAGAAGGTAGCATCCTTGTCTGAATACATCGATTACGTCGAGTTCAACAAATCTTTGGTGTTTCTACCGATATATTAAGTCATTGCAAAATGTCTTCATTTCGCATTACGAATGACCACATTGACGACGACGTCCTGAGAAGAACCTTGTTCATTTGTTGCCAGTTGATTGAAAGGTATAAACAGTCGTTTCCCACTTCCAGAACGTAGAGGTAGCAAAGGGTGCAATGGGAATAAGATGGAAGCCGTATGATTGACTCTCCATATCCTTTTCTGCAGTCGCAAACTCGATAAGGACCATCTCTGCACACGCGTACTGGTGACAGCAACCATGTACGATACTATACCGAAAACCGAATTCCGTTAAGAGCTTACAGGTAAAGACGTCCTTCAGATACCTTCCGCTTCCGCTCTTGCTTTACTTTCTCCTTTTGTGCTCGCTTCTCCCTTGATCTTCTCCTTGCACCTTCCAAGGCGTCATTCTCGAGTGCAAGTGCGAGGTGGAATCCTAGTAACCTGGGTTCGGAAAGAACGGGGGGGCGTATTTGTGAGAGTATAAGTCATAGCTTGTTCTTGTTTGTGGTCTTGTCCTTGTGGCTGTTTTTGTAGCTCTCCTCCTTGGTCTTCCTGTCCCGCACACTCCCTGCCCTTGAACACTCCCACACTGGAACCATTGAAGATACCAGGTGAATGGACGTTTCTACTAACTTTTTATTTCGCGCTCGTCGCAAGTAAAAAAGGAATCGGACTCGGAAATAACGCTCAGGAAAGAAACAGAAGAGGGGAAAGACTCTTGAGATAGCGGCGGCCTCTACACTATGTCGTTCTTTGCTCGGATGTACTCGGTAACGACTGCCGCACGACGTAATGGCGGTACCTGTATCTGGGACCGGTCGCTGTGCGGCTTCGCACTATTACGCTCCTTATTCTCGGTGTCATCATTCGGGGTTTCCCCATGTTGGGCGTTGTGGAAGCTTTTGTGGGCTGTTGAGTCCCCGCCTCGGTAGCGGTAGCAGAACGGTCATCAGGTTGAAGATCTTGCTCTTTTGGCGCGTCTTCTACCATGGCACCTCTAGGCGTGAGCTGGGGGTGGGAATGTGAAGGACGCGGGCCATTCCCAGGCGTAATCTGGCGATTCTTTTTTAGTAAATGCTAGTATCGTCCTACATAGTAGCCATGGAAGTTGTTGGCGGGGTCTGGTTACTAACCGGTTCCGGGCTCGTACTATTGTTGCATGTCCTTGCAGGGCCCTTGGGAGGTTTTCCCTGGTACTGAAACTGGTTACTCGAAGCTAGTTGTACCTTCTTTTGCTTCCTTCGTAGCTTGTTTATCTTCCGTGGCTCCATGGTGCTGGCGTTGTGCCCCGATCGGGACTGGAATGGTATGGGAAGACCACAGAACATGATGGATAATCGTGGGTGAAGTAGGTTGTGGCAGTTGGTGCTTGTAGGAAATTATCCGTTACGGGAAGGAGATTGTCGAAAGATGGATGATGAGGGAGTGACACTGCAGTTCATGTTATATATCAACTATATCATGGCATGAATAGACCGCGGAACCCAGAACAAGGTTAGATCTCGTGCCAAATTAACTCACTCCTCGTGTCAACCCAGTCATCTATAACCAGGGGCAACCCATACCAAGCCAGCAGCAGGCAGTCACTCCAGGTATCTCATTCAATGAGCCGAAGAGGAGGAAAATATAAGGCCCGGAAGGGCCGTAATGTGTTGGCAGGTAATAGCATAGAATTCAATTGACCGTCATCTTCACCTTGGCTACTTCGCTTCTTGCCTCTTCCATTATTCATAACCAAGTCACTGTCCTGACCAGTTGCTTTGCGTGATCACCCTAAGCATTTGAGTACCTTCGTCATGGCGGTCCCCAGGTTTTCTTTCGTTGTTACCTGTATTTAACGTCTACTTCCGCCTCCCAGGGGGAATTGAGAAGTATGGCGGTCCCCAGAGCCAAAGGTTTGTAGCGTGCGTCGACTCAAATCTCAATGCTCCTGTGTTTACCGAGCCCTTGGTGGCATCAAGCATAGCATTAAACCCGTTCGTCCGAGCCCATGCATGGTTCGAGGACGAGGAGTATACTGTTGAATGGTAGTCTCAGGCGGACTGCAAGGCGTACTTCCTAGCGTCTTTCATCCAAAGCCGCCCCTACCGCAAATCATCGAGTCCCTCGGTCAGCCCAACTACTTGCCTGACCACAATCTTCCCGTCCATCCACTTGAAGCCCCAATGCCTTTCCCTTTTGGGTGGAGAAAGGCTTATTTTTGTACCAAACTAACCAACAAACTAGGCTGGTTTTGTGTTTGGTGAAAGTCTAAGGTGGCTTTGCTGCAACCTTACAACAACCAACGAAGACGACACTGCTGCCTAGAGGTACTCGGCATTTCCACATGCCAAGACCAATTGTGTGGCAGTGAGGAGGTCTCCCATGGTGTGGAATATAAAGAACATGTACTGGCGAATGCTCACGACTCTACCACATGGTCACCATCAACCACTTTAACGCAAACCAAACAAACAGTCTAGGGAGTTCCAACTCTCTCGGTTGCCACATCAGCCTTATTCTACTTTTGAAGCCGGCAAAATGGGTTGTCCTTCCACTTTCGATGTGGTGCCGCAAACCCGCGATGCACTGAGCTGCGAACCACACTTTTGCTTTTACGTCGGCACTCCGGACCTGCTCGAGAGCCGCAGCCATGAAAAGGCATCATACGTTCTGACCTTTAAAGAACAGGACAATTCCTCCTCGTCTAAAGTCCTCGTCCTCCTCGACGGCTTCGACAAAACCCGCACCTTCTCTCCCGACGTCAACGATACCCTTGGCGTCGAATTCCACTGGCGCGACCTCACCTCCGATCTGCCCTTTGTCTCGCCGCCGCGCATCTACTTTGTCTTCGACCTTTGCGAGTCCAGCCGCCAACGTTTTCTTCCTTCCTTTATATCCTTGCTCGGGCTGGCGCTGGGTCCGCAAACGGTACCCTCGCACTTGGACTATAAGGTGCATGAGGACTTTGTTGCCGCGCTGAATGCTATTGACGCGGACCCCACGGGCAAGGGTGATCTGGCGGCCACTTTTGCCTCGTTGGCGTCGGAGCTTCCACCACACTTGTCTCCGCTGCACCCCGGCCCGGACTCGGCCGTTCTAAGGGAGTTCTTTCTCGTTATGGCAGATAGAACGGCCTGGTCCATGCATGGCACGTTAAGTAGCTCGACGACGAAGCAATTTTTTGAGCTAGTAAAGATGCTGGCTTCTTCGGGGGGACCACCACCACCACCGCCTGAGACCAGCAACAACAATAACAGCACGAGACCCAAAGAAAAGTCGATCATACCCTGGTACCGCGACTGGATGCCCTTGAATCTGGGTAGCGAGCGCCCGCCGCCGCACGACGTCGAAGCGGTGCTGATTCGCACGCGGTGGCGTGCGCCGCGCCTATGGGCCTGGAAACTGCTCGGCACAGGCCATGAGATACAGCCGCTCAAGACTCTCTTGGACGCATTCAAGGAGGTGGGATACCTAGACACGCAAGAGGGCAAGGTACAGACTCTGGTGAGCCTGGTGGAGGGACAGGGGACTGACCCGTTGCGGCCGTCGAAGTCCAGGCCGCGCGAGGTAGGGTTGGTGGTGGAAGCTATACGGTATACTCTTGCGTTGTCCACACCTACAACGACGCCGCCACCATCACTCAGAGACGCCCTCACCAAACTCGACCGACTCAAGATCTTACTCCCCGCGGTGCAGAAAAAGGGGAATAAAGAGCTCCTAGCCTGGTTGCTCGATGACGCTGACAATCAAGGAGGAGGAGGAGGAGGAGGAGGAGGAAACCTGCGCGAGGTACTCAATACGGCCAACTATATTCGAGGGCCGAGCCCGGAGAACCGAATGAAGAGGGTCTGGCTGCAAAACTATGTGCTGCATACTGCCGTTTGTCGCGGAGATGTGGATATGGTCAAGCTCCTGTTGGAGCGGGGCGCCAAGATGTTGCGGGACGACGAAGGAAGAACGCCACTGATGTTTGCGCGGATGTTGTCAGGCAGTCCCATACGCTATCACGAGATAGAGGAGAAGGTCGAGGTGTTGGAGGGGTGGTTGAGGGAGAGAGGGTTGGATAGCGAGTATTGGGATGAGCCGGACGAGTATGCTTTGGATGCGTCCGAGGGAGAAGGCGGGTTTGAGTTTGAGATTTCCAAGGGATTATGGTTTTTGTAGCACGTGATAGGCTAAAAGGACTTGTTTCACTCGGATAGACTGAAGAGGTACATTTAAAGGGATTACTAAACCACCCCTCATTTCCCAACATGCGACTCAACAGCTAGGTAGGCCCGCTTCTCCCACACCTGACAACCGATTTATCAGCTTTGTGTCGTTTGTTCCACTCTAGACTTTCACCAAACATGCCAGGCCTGGAAGTCCTCAGCGAGCCTCCAGCATCATCTCAATCGTCGACGCAGTCTCAAAAGTCATCAGCGCGTGCCAAGACAACTACGGCTTCCCCGACGCCATTAGGTACGCCTAGTACACTCGTTCACCATTGGTGGTAGACATTGCTCACGGAAGGAGGGTGTGGTAAGTTTGCGTCTCGAAAACAAGATCAAGCGTCTACAGGCTCGGTCAAACGGAAAAAGGGCCGTAAGCTTCATGATATTGCTAAATCCAACTTGGGCCATCCTGCCTCGGACAAAACTACATCTAGGTACGCTATCTCTTGCCTTGATTCCCCGACCGAGCTTCATCTGGCCTCTATAGCCAAAACAATTCATCCTCTTCCATCTTCTCAAGCCGTTCCTCCATTATCAGAACCAGAAGTCGTAGTCCGGGTCCACCCTCGAGCGCCAAGGTCCGAACTTCTTATCCTCAGATTGAGGCACGTACCCAGGGCCGCAAGCTTCGGTCACGCGACGCGCGCTCTCAGCCATGGCTTTTGCCATCCATCCACTAGACTTGTTGATGCGCTTGGTGTAGAGTTTGTGGAGCGCAGGCAGGTAAACGACATCGTTGACGCAATACTGCAGCGTCTTGGCGTCCAGAGGGCGGCGGGAGAAGATGTCGCTGTTAGGCATGTTCATCAGAGCCCGCACCTCCTGCTTGGTTCTGGCCCAGGGCTGCTTCTCTTCCCATCTCAGCGAGAGGTCCCTCTCGATACACCTGTCGAGCCCGAAGAGGTACGTCTTGCCGCCGGGGCGGGATCCGTTTTCGAGGAGCTGGATGTCTGTGACGCCCGCGAGACGGATCTTGTGGTGCGCCCAGAGGGCGTCCGCGTCGTTGCGGACGTCTCAAAGGCATTTGGAGGTGTTAGGATCCTCGAGAATGGCTTTGAGGGTCTTTCCGTCTGGGCCGGGAGTGGTGAAAGCAGAGTCGCCGAGGGTTTGGACATCGACAATGCTTGTTGCCCGCGTGGGAAGGACGAGAATTGTCAAGAGCGTCAAGGTTCCATGACGGCAGAGACTTCTGCCTTCAAGGTCCAGATACAACGTGCTGGAGGGAGGGATGAAAGAGAGGAAGGCTTGGAGGTCTGGAAGGGATGAGATCAAGGTTGGGGTCGCCATACTTGACTTGGGAAGGGTGCGCTTTGCCGATGGTTTGATATGTCGAAGGGAGTTCTCTGCTGTCCCAGAACGCAAATTGATATGGGGTTTGCCTGTCTTTTTATGTGCGAAGGGCAATTTTGTTGCCAAACCTTTCTTCAGGCTCGAATGCATGGTGTTGGAATTGAAATGGGTCGGGTCACATCATCTACTTAAGCCAAGGCAGACAAGTACACATCGGGCCTCAAGCATACTTTAAGCTGATCCTCAGAGCTATGGTTGGCTTGTCGCTCGCAAGGCTGCCGTCACCCTGTTTTGCAGCTTTAGGCCAGTGGGCCTCTGGCATAGAGCTCTGTCGGCCAATCGACTTGTTTACAAACGAAGGTATTGGCGGCTGCGCCAACAGTGTGTTGCAACGGAAGCCAACCACCATGTTTATGTTTCCGAGCTCAAACGTCCTGACGGTCCAGCGGAATGCAACTTGCCGAGTTGAGCTTCCCGTCCGACACCTTCCTTGGTTGTCTTTGTGGCCAAGGAGTCTGGATCGAAAGGGTTGAGGGGAGGGTGAATCCAAGAAAGTTAGGGGAAGTCAACAAAAAAAGAAAAGAAAGATGTCTCAAGTCCAAGGCGCACATTTCACCTTCCTGAGCCCAACAACGTAGCCCATGTCGAGTGCCGATGTAAGATGAGAAATAGAAGGAGTGTGCAATCTACGTATAGTATGGGTGAAAGAGGAAGATCCGAAGAGGGTAGTTGAAAGTGGAGCTATATCTTATGTAATTACAATTACTCACGGTATGGAACTCCAGCCTTCAGTAGGAGTTATCTAACTCCCTGCAAGTTCGGCAGGGTTTCTGTTAGTGTAAGTGCCGTGTAAGCCACTCCTCGTCCCCCTTACGTACCTTACCTCTTAGCATCCATCCAATTCCCGTACATCAACTTCAGCAATCATGGTTTCCTTTTTCGACGCATACCGCCACTACTCAAAACACGGCGACTTGGAGTCCATTGAAGCCATGTTGCAGATCTGGAGGAACGAGACCGCGTCTGGTGCCAACGCCGACTTGGCCGTGTCGGATCTGCAGGGCGCCATGGCCGACGTCTTTTGCAAGGCTGTCTGCCGAGGACAAGAAGCCGCCGTGCGCATGATGCTTGACGCCGGTGTTGATCCGACTCATCTTCGTCAAGCTTGTGATCCAGGCTACTCGCCTCTCCAAGTCGCCGCCGAGTATGGCCACCGCGACATTGCTCGCCTCCTGTGGAACGTGGTTGGTCCCCAGGGCCGATTCCACTACCCTAGCCCGAGACAGCCGTCCGACGCCATGCCGAGCTGCCTCGTGCTTGCTGCCTATAACGGACACGCGCATCTGGTCGCCGACTTCCTCGACCTCTACGACGGCTGGTCCAGTCTTGAGAGACAAACAAGCCTTTTCCGAGCGGCTGCCGTGTGGCATGACGACGTGGTCGCCTTGTTGCTAGCCAAGTTCCACTATCAAAGTGTCGACATCCAATGTGCCCTAGAAGCCGCAGTCGCCATCCACGGCCGCGACCACGCAAACGGGATACCCGTGCAGACGCGTAACGGAGAACCTCTCAACCGGGACCACCAGATCCGCCTTGTGCGTCGACTTCTCAATGCCGGCGCAGACGTCAACCGGCCGTTCAAAAACCAGAAAGCCTTGCCCATCCACGAATCCTTCACCCAGATCGACCTTCTAAAGTTGTTCCTCGAAAAGGGTGCAGATCCCAACGCAAAGAACGGCTACGGCCAAACGGTCCTTCACAGAGTCGCCGCAAACTTCAATCCTAGCCCCCAAGGCAGACAGAATCGGGACTACCTGGAGGCCCTCCAAACTCTTCTCCAACATGGCGCATTGCCCGACGCCCCTGACAACGAAAAGGTCACGCCTCTCCACCTGCTTGCGAACACCGGGACACCTAATGTGCTTCGAACATGTCTGGGATACTGCGTGGATACCTCCAGCGCCGTGCGCCAGCTCAACCAGTTCGGGGAGTCACTTTTACACTATGCTGCCGCTGCTGGAAACGGAGAGACTGTTGAGTATCTGCTCGACCAAGGTCTAGATGCCGACCAAGCAAATGCCAACAAGTGGACGCCCTTGCTCTGTGTGCTGACCCCCGCCAAAAGCTACAACAAAGGACAGACAGCTGCGCGGCTCGCGGTAGCCCGTCTCTTGCTCGAGCGTGGTGCCAGCGCCCAGGTGGTGACGGACGAAGGATGGACTCCGTTGCATGCTCTCGCTACCGTCCGCGACGTTGATGCCACTGAAGAAGAGAGGACCGGGGTAGGAGCGTTCGCGGAGGAACTACTTGCAAGAGGCACGCCCGTCGACGCAGAGGCAAGTGTGCTTCGATACTGCTCTCCCATCTTCACATCGTTTCTGTCAGGTGCCTGGGGGCATCAGATGGCTGAGCTTGTTCCCCAGTTGACCAGGTGGGCCGAGGATCGTCATTTGCAGGCGTACGAGGACTGGGAACTGACACCGCTTCAATGGGCCGGCCGTACCGGCGCGATTGATATTTTTGATGTGCTTATGAGGTACTTTGCGTCGAAAGAACGAGCTGAGTCCAGACCTGACGAAGGTGCCGTACGTAGGTAGGTCTTGTAAGGGCCGAGGAACATAGAGTTCGCCAAGGTTACGTACTGTCATGAGAGGTAGGTCTAGGTACCTGTACACAGTGAGACGGTAGGTAGCCACGCGTGGTATGTGTGCTTGATTGCTCGTACTGTTTGCTTGCTTTGTCCTTGAGTATTTCGTGTTGGTGAGCACTTGAAGATGGCCTCCCTTGTTTGTCCTTCCCTGGAGCCTGAGCTGGTTGGCTTGGCAAGTGCCAGCCATGCCATTACCGACTGACTTCTTTCGCAGACTGCGTGACTTGTAGTTTCAACTTCTCCCTGAAATACCCTGCATATATGGCGCCGATAGATGGCCCAACTCTTCACAAGTTTACAAGTTCACAGACTCTCGAGTTCTCATGTTCAAAGTGTAAAAACTTCAACCGTTGGTTGGAGGATTTCCGGTGTAGTTGGCTGCAATCCACTCAAGGCCAACCGCCCATGACTATTTTCCGTTACGGGTCGTTGGACGCCGGCCCAACAGACACGCTCGAAATTGAATGATTTCCGAGATGGAAGAAAGAATGACTACAGCGAAGTCAATTATGTCCATGCTGATTAGTTCGAGATGCAGGTTACCGTTAGTCTACATGTCTTTGCGAGCAGTGAAGATCTGGACGAACTTGAAAGTATAAGAGGCAATTTGCCCACTTGAAAAGCATAAGAGTTTTGTTCACTCGCTCGACATCATCTATTCACCTGTCTGTCATTTCGCACACTCACATTCTTCCAAATCCCTCAAAATTTCCCCATCCTTAACAGATACAAAAGCACGAATCATCTCAGAGCGACCAGCATGTCATATCACGAGCTCTTGAACGTTATCGAGCCTGTTGAATCTGGATTGTTCAATTCGCTCATTGAATCTCTCAACTCCTTACCGAATTCCAACACCGAAAAGTGGTGGGAAACGTTGGCCGGAAAAGTGGCTGATTGCCAGACCGGGTGGAACAAGTGGTACGCCGCGTACCTGACTTGAATGTGAACAGCTTCTCCAACAAGAAACCCAATGGAAGGGCACTGGGCAATACAGTTATGCGTTCCTCACTCAGACTGTCACCGAGCTTTGTACTGCTCTGGAAGCACGTAAGAAACTGACATGACCCTCAAACACCTGCGGGATTGAGGAGCAGCTAGGTAACAAAGGTTGACCTACCTACTTTCCATGTTTTAGTGTCTCGCTGGACTAATAAACTCACCCAAGCCTCTGGGTCTCTGGCCGAAGGTAGAGATGTGGAGATCATAGTGCGTACCTACCTATCTACCTCTTACCTACCTTCAAAGTCCATAACACAGAAATCTAACGCGTATTTTCTATTAGGATGAAGACCAGATCTCCACGACAGTCACCAAGACGATCAAAGACGCCCGGGTGGAAGCAGTCAAGAGAATCTTTATAATTGCATGCCGACTTCTGGAGTGTCAACGCTTCAATGTTCAATCAGGACCTCATAAAAGGCGAGGAGGCAAAGACACAGAAGCAACTGGAGGAAGTCGAGAGCCGCACCACCGCCGCTGTAGTAGAGGAGATGCACAGTGCTTTCTATCTGGATGTCCTTGGGGCCGATCTCGGAATCACCCATCCCGAAGCCTTGAAGAGATATTTGCGAACCCTTCTCCCGCGATCTATCAGTCTAGCTGTGAAGGCCGCGGAGAAAGATCGCTCCGCCCCGAGAGTCCGCCAGCAGGATCTGGTAGGGTCTCATGGAACGACTACTTCCAGTTTGACGCAGGACTCGGCTTCGACTTCGGCCCTCTTTGGCGGACAGGCGGCGCCGCGGAACTAGAATGAGGGGAGATGGTATCAGGAAGAGAACGTCAAGGTTCGTTTGCTAGGTAAGGGTTCCATTGATGGGTCACTCATCTTTGTAACCGCCTTCGCGGTAGTCATTCTTCCGTTCGTTACCTAGATTAGGTACTCAGCAGGCTATCTGTAGTAGTTTACTTAAAGGGCATAAACCTGGATGTCAAACCAACATTAGAAGTTTAAGTCGGATCCAATGTGACTTTTGCATTTAATCCTGGACCTAACACCCAATGTTGAAGGGTGCAGGTTTCCTGTACGGTATACATATCTCTAGGCAACACTATTTTCATCATCTTGATCCAATTCCTGATCTAACTACCTAGGTATGTAACCCGACAGGCACTACTGTCATCAGACAAGTCTTTCCTCAACATGATGCCTCACAATCTGACCTGACCTTCAATCCATGCAGCTTGCTCGCCAAGTCTTGCTCATACCCACACATAGTCATGGTGGGATTCCAACTACCCGCCGTTGGGAAAAGCGCAGCCCCCGTGACGTGAACATTCTCAATCCCATGAGGACGATAAAGCTCATCCACGGACCCACCCATTTCCTTGGGTCCCATAAAACAAGTGCTGGATTCGTGAACGACCCCAGGGATCCGAATGGTGTCGACTGCTGGTTTGGTCTTGATCCACCCATGACTTGCCTCATCCCACCATTCGATGCTCGACTCGTGCTCCTCATCATCGCCGCCCGCCATTTCTTTGATGGTGTCGTAGGTGGCTGTGTCCATCACGTCCCAGCAGGCATAATCGTCGTCGGTCAAGGTGTATTGTAGGGTGACGTTGCAAGTCGGGTCGGTGCCTTTGTTGAGAGTGACGTGATTCTTGGGGTTCTTCTCGCTGAACTCGCCAAGAGCCGAGCAGACTAGGTAAATCAGTGCTAGGTTAGCCTTCTGATAATCCTCTTCTCTTTTGCATAGGGGCGGCGGCTTTTTCATACCAAACACAACGTAGTCCTCAGAACCTATAAGCTGATCCAGCGTCGCAGCAGCAGCATAGTCTGAACACTCACGAGCCGCGTCCTCTGCATCGTCTTTCGGGTTGGGGCTATTCAACGCCGTGACTGAGACGTGATACTGTAGGCCGCTCTTGGGATCCCTGCCAGCCACGTATGCAGCAGCCATCGCGAGCGTGTCTTTTTCTTCCTTCTTCCTCTTCCAGCCCTTGATGTTCTTCACGGGGCATCTTGCTGAGATGTGTGTCACAAAGTGGCCAGTAAGCCTCTTGCCGACGGTGTCACGGCAGCTCTCGAAAGAGTTCAGCAACATGGTGGCGTTGGGAATGGCTCCAGCGCAGAGGATGATCCTGGTCTTATTGCCAGTCCACGACAAAGTGCCCTTGCTGGTTTCGATAACACGGACAAAACCATCGTCGTCGCCTTTAGCCATGCTTGTTGCCGCACATTCAACCATGATTTCCAAAGGCGCTCCCTGGTTGGTTTTGGCCAGCTGCCTCTGTCGTTCCAAGATGCCGAGAAGAGGGCCGGGGACAGAAAACTTGTTGAATCGCAGACGTGAAGTTGGGCTGCGTTGTCCGACAGCAAGCGGGGCCGACTCAGCATATTCAGCAGTGGGAATCTTGCAAACCGAGCGTTCGAGAATGCCATCAATGGCAGTTTGCAGGCTTCCAAAGACGCCATCGTTGATCTGAGCTGCCGGTGTGACATTCAAGAGTTCCTTAGCCTCTTTCCAGAATTGCTCGTGTGAAGCAGTCTCCTTCATGGACTTGGGAAAGTCGCGCATGAGGTCTAGACTCGGCCTCGGGCTCCAGGCGGACCAGAATGTCGATCGGCCACCGAAAAATGGGCAAGACCCGTGGCAGAACTTGAGCTCCTTGGTCTCAAAGGTCTTGCGCGAGAGGGTCCAGGGGAATGTCTCAGAAGGCCCGCCCAGAACCATCTTGAAAGGAATTGGCAGGTTCTGGAAGTGGGAAGGAAGCCAAAAGCCTGTGTAACGAATTAAAGCATGAGACGACGGCATCTATATAACGGTATAAGGGGAACCACCCATGGGAAAGTACTCTACTTACCTCCACGCTCCAAGCAAAGAATCTTGGCACACGGGTCGAGATCGAGTGCCTTCTGAATGAATGCGAGAGCAGTGAAGCCTGAACCGATGACGATGTAATCAAAGTCCCCATGGGCCAGGATATTCCCCCAGGTCTGGTCACTACAAAATAAAAATCAAAGTCAGAATTGGAATAAAAGATCTCTTGCACAAAAAATCAAAGTATCACCATTGCTTCATACCTCGCGAAGTAGTCAAGGGCCATAACCGACGCAGAAGTAGGTGCCTGCACGCTAGGCACAGGGTAGCCGTAAATGTTGGCTCTTTGAGGCTGGCGATCATTGTGATTTTTTCCAACGCGGCAGTGGAAGCTAGGGATTGTTTTCCCTGGGATGGTCAGGTAGTCTGGGAGGCTTTCGGTGTTCATGATGGAAGCAGGGATCACACGTCGTGGTGTATTGTAGAAGTGAAGCAAAAGGTTTGGTTCGGTTCTATGTCATCTGTTTACCTCACTTGTCGTTTGATGTCAACTGGTCTGGAGCGTCCTATTTATGTTTTTATGGCATGTAGCACCTTTGTGAGCAGAAAGAAAGGTAGACCACATACATCTTGGAACGGCATAAGGGAGATACACAAGAACGTTGCCGACATTCTCTTTCTCCCTTAGTCTGCAATAGAGACGCGAAAGTATCGACAGGTGGGCTACTGTTTTCAGCATGGTTGAGATATTCGTGGCGAGCTCAAACTGACAACCGTTAGTTGGCATTCGAGACCGGACTGCCCGTACTATTGAAAGCTGACACGCGTGATGAGGAATGGCTTGTGCAAAAAGTCTCGCTGGCACAATTGTTGATATGTATAAGCGACCACTTGTCACGCAGGGCTGACTACTGTTTTCGGTATGACTCAGATATTCATGGCGAGCTGAAGGATCTCGGTAGTTTGAATATTGTGTTCTAGATACCGAAATGCGTAATTGATAGCTGCTGACCACTGTTTTCAGTAAGGTCAAGATATTCCTCGCGAACTGGAAGACGTGATGAAGGCTGACCGAGTTGCAAGGTTCAATTAAAGTTCTTACCCCGGTCTTGGCAGGTGCTTACTGTATCCCGTCCTTGGTCGCATTTCTCGATCGAAAGGGGGTGGCTGGACTACCGTATGTGATATTGACTGCTGATGTATAGACCACGTTCTCGACTGACGCTAACGAACCGTGCCGTCCTGACACGACGATGCCTCGACCTGCCTGAACTTCTGCTCTTCAATGATTTGATGTTGGACCCCTGTTTCAGCTTGCCACTGAGCATCATCTTGCACGAGTCTGCCGCTTCTGACAGTTTTGGGCTCGGCCCGCAGTAGCTAACGTCATCTTGGAGCTCTAGGCAGAGAAGATGGACTCCTTGTGGAAATATCACAATGGCTGAGCAGGATAGAGGTTGTGATGGGGCGAGTCACCAACATGAAGCGAGTATATCTGTTTGGATATAAAGAGTCAGTATGTCCGTCCTCAAGCTCCCATCTCAGACAGCATTAGAAGACCAAAAATCCAGAAGCAGCGATACAACAAACAAAACATACAAACAAACACCATAGACCAGTTTGCAACGTCAAGCAGACATGACCTGGCACGCCCAACTTGCGTTGGTGCTGGCTCTGGTCTGCCCAGCGACCGCCTGGTGCTCCGGCAAGTCAGACGCCTGCTCCTCTAACCCGATCCCACTGAGGCAATTCAACGCGCTCAATTACCAGGCCAATACGTGCAACCTCAAGTGGAACCGCGGCTGCACCAGCCTGGACAAGCACGGCGCGCTGCAGCAGAAGCCGCCGCCGTACTCACTATGCAACTCGGGGCACCAGCCGGCCGGGCGTGTGCCCGTCGACGCCTACACGCTGTCGCTGCAGAACAACAACTTCGCACCGGGCTCGGCCAGATGGACGCTGCACGGTCTGTGGCCTGGGTCGGTTGACGGCACTGGCGGAAAGAACCAGCCCTACGGCTGTCTGAACGGCGAGGACTTCGACGAGACAATCCTCACGACCTTTGACGGCCTGCTCAACTACTTCTGGCCGACCAACGCAAAGTTCAACAACACGATGCAATGCTTCATCCTGTCCGAGTGGATGAAGCACGGCACCTGCGCAGTAATCCCCGGCGCTGACGGCACCGCGTTCCGGCTGCCGCAGGAGGACTATTTCCGCACCGCGTTTGTAATCGCCAACGAGTTCAATGAAAGCCCGACGCTGCGCAACCAGCTGCTGGAAAAAGTGAAGCTGGACGACGTAGAGCCGCTCATTAGCACCCGCTGCGTGCAGTGCGCGTATCTGGCAACGGTGGGCTGGACGAGCACCGATGTGGCGAGCGTGCCGCGCATGTCAGGCGACTGCATTGACCAGTGCTTTGAGTGCGGTGACTTCTGGGACACATGCCCGCCGGCTCAGCTGGAAAGCACCGTGATGCTGAACTCGAGCAATGCGCCGCGGGAGAAGAGGGACAGCAGCAGTAACAGCAATGCAACTGCAAGCTTCCCGCTGCTGGAATTTGCCATGCCGGCCTTTATGAGCAGTGAAAACACCTCCCCCTGGGAGGGCACCTGGCGCTCGTTTGGCGCCGAGGAGGGCGGGTCCGGCAAGTTCGAGTTCGCGCAGACCTTTACTGACAACGTCCTGACCGTCACCACTGACAGCCCATACCCCCGGACGTGCACCTACGAGCGGCGCGGCCCCAAGGAGCTTGCCCTGCGATGCGGCGGCGACCATCTGGAGGACTGCCTGGTGCAGCGGTTGCCGGATATTGGCGGGCTCGAGGCGGCCTTTTTGGCATGCAACCACACCGGGGAGCCGGCGCCGGCGAGCTTCTACGCCGCCATGGACACAAAAGGGTGCGGCAACTTTCTCATGTTCCGCTGTAAGGCGTCGGCGGCGGGCTGTTCCTTTTCCCCGGATGCTATCTCGGCGTCTGAGCCCAAGACCGAGTCCAAGACTGAGCCCGAGTCCGGGTTCGAGTCCGAGTCCAAGCCCAGCCCTGTGAGCCACTTCCAGCCTGGCATTGCCGGAGCACCCCCCGCGCTGCTGGGCTCGTGGCGCTCACTGCAGGTATCTAGCGACTACGAAGAGGGCCTTGCACAATGGAACTTTACTTCCGACGGCCAGGCGTCGCTGCGGTGGCCAAACTACCCCAGCCGCGCCGTGCAGCGCTACTCCGTCTCGCACTCGGATGAGGACCCCAGCCTGGTGCTCCTTGCCAGCGCCAGCGGCATTATCACCACCTATCGCTTCCAGTTCCAGTACCAGCCGGTATACTCGTACGCCGTGCTTGACTGCGGATCGGTAGGAGACAACGAGGAAGATACGCAGAATACGAGATGGGCCATGGGTCGGTGCAACCCGTGCAGCGCCCATTGTCGCTACTCGTGCGGCCCTGAGAACGACTTCTGCGGCGCCGGCTCGTGCGACCCGGCCGAGTCGGTGGAAGCCGCAGTCGTCGATGCCCTGCCCTCGCTGTTTGACAATACGCGCGCAACACTCAAAGACGACCATGACTGGTGCACGCCCGAAGACTCCGGCTGCTGGCCCACCAAGACGGCCATCCGCAAGCTGGAACAGGAGCTGGACCCCACAGTGCCCCGGCTCGGCCTCCGGTGGCACAGCTACCCGGACCCGCAGCCGGCGCCGGTACCAATGGGCTCCATTGATAACCAGTCCTTCTACGGCCTCGGTAACGCGCCCCAGGGCCTCAAGGCGCTATATTACTACGATGACATCGCCGAGATGCAGCGCCCATGTTTCAATCAGGCCGACCCCCCTGCCTTGTATAACACCGCATCAGACATGTGCAAGGCGGCGGTGCACCAAAACGAGTACCGCAACTGGAACCCCTTCATCGTTGTCTTCCCGCTCAACGAACGCCATGTGGTCGCTGCCCTCAACTTTGCCGCGCGGCACCGCCTGTGTATCGCCACTGCCGGCACCGGCCACGAGTACAACAGCCGCAACTCGTGCCCGACGGGCGGCATCCTCATCCGCACAATCCTGCTCAAGGACAAGACCTTTATGCCTACCTGGCACGAGGATTCGACCTTGGCCCCTGCTGGAGCATTCCGCTTTGGTGCCGGCTCCACCTTCGCCGAGATGCACGCCTTCTCGAAAGACTACTCGCGTGTTATTTCATCGGGCTGGTGCTCCACCGTCGGCATGGTCGGCTTCCATCTCGGGGGCGGTCACGGGCCCTTTGCGCCGTCCATGGGCCTCGGCGTCGATAACGTGCTTGAGATTGAAGTTCTGCAGGTCGGTCGCAACACCTACGGCCAGCCCGTTGTCCACAAGAAGATCGCCAGTCGCAACCGCAATCCGCAGCTCTTCTGGGCCATGCGCGGCGGCGGCGGTAGCGTTTGGGGCGTCGTTCTTTCCATGACAATCCGCGCCCACCCCGTGCCCGACGGAGGCCTCAGCCGCGTGTACATGTCCCAGACCGGTACCTTTTGCCCAGACGACTCGAGCAAGTTTGGCTACCAGTGGCTGCGCGGCATGTGGACTCGCTTCACCGCGTGGCAGCTGAGCCTCAACCAAAAGGTCAGCACGCAGCCCGGCTTCTTTATCAACACCACCCTGTACAATGAGAAGCGCAACCTTTGTTCCGTCACTTGGGAGTTCAAATTTGAGTACTTCTACGCCGGCGGTCAAGCAGAGCGGGACTACATTCGGTTCCGCGACGGCCTCAAGGACGTGCTGCAGACGGACACCGTGTGGGAGGATAACTACAAGTCAGCCTATGATTACCTCGTCTCCATGGCCGCCGACAAGTTTACACTCGTCCCTGTGAACCCTCTGCCGGCGCAGCACCCGCCATCGGACGTGGCCACAGGCTCTCAGAACTCGGTCTTTGTCTCGCGGCAGGCCTTGAAGACAAAGTTCACCTCGACCATGATGGACGTGCTAGACATCTGCGTCAAGTCCCTGAAGAATCCTGACAAGACGTCGCCGGATGTGTCGGGCTATCGCTGCGGCTTCCACTACCTCTACACGTCGCTGACGGGCAACCTGGGGAGCACACAGCCTGGCGACACGGCCATCTCGCCAGGCTTCCGCTCGGCGCTCATGCTGTGGAATGCGCGCACCTTGACGACGCAGCAGTCAAATGACACGGTGTACAAGCTTGGGCCCAACAGCTACTTCTCCGAGAGCTCGTATGTGATGCATAACTGGACGGCGAGGTACTGGGGCGAGAAGGCGTACGAGCAGTTGCTGGGCGTGAAGAAGGCGCACGACCCGGGGAATCATTTCTGGTGCCATCACTGTGTTGGGGATGATCCAAATGATGCGTTTGGGGAGCCGCTGGGACCTGCGGCTCAGGCTGATTTTGGGGACCAGCCGGATGCTGCGGCTCAGGCTGAGTTTGTCGAGCAAGATAAGTTGTAGAGTAGCAGCTGCATGTTTGTTGCGTGTGCTGGCGTAATATAACCCCTGGCCATTGCAAAATTAAGTATCCTGTAAAAGACTTAGCTATGCCTCTAGTAGAAAGATAAAATGAGACAGAGAATTGCATTGTCCTCTTTGGTCACCTCGGTACTAAGGTTGTGCGGCCGTCCAGACGGCAACGGAGTCCTCGCCTTCAGTTTAGATGTACCAGGAGGTGGATGCAATTGTTCCGGCTCAAGGATATGACGATTATCTTGGACATCATTTGACAAGGCCATGTTTATCTGCGGCTCCTGGGGGGAAGGTCTTCTGAGGGCTTGCAGTATCCGCACCATAAGCACATAGTTCAGCGTGATGCCCGACCCATCCAGCACGAGCGAAATGCGCGAGAACTGCATCTTGTACAGCTTTGACAAAAAAGGACCCGAGACCCAAGTTGTCCTGGTGCAACGATGTTGCCCGTTCGGCCGCGAATTTCGACCCCCTGTCTAAGTAGCATGCTATCGAGCAGGTCGGAGGGGGCGTCGATGGTAAGCTTGAAGATGTCATTTGCTGGGGAGTAATGTTTGGAGGGAGGTGGGTGAGTTGAGAGAGGTTAACGGTTGGCTTTCTTTCGGGGGTGGTATCTCCGCTTCTCGGCGGTTGCGGCAGGCTTCGCTGATAGGGCCACGCTGAGGCAAAGGCATGACCGACCCGTCGAATGTAGACCAGAACGAGCATCTTGTCTCGTAGTGTGAAAGCCGACCTAGATGTGCTGGCAGATTCCAAGACCCAACTCAGGTTTTCCCGGCGGCAGCTAGAAGGTGTATATGCGCGTGTTTTGGGGAACGGCGCGCGCGGGTCAATCAATCCGGCGGGTACCTCGCAGTGCTTTGGATTGCGGATTGGCCGTCCTCGCCCTGCTTGCTGAGCGTTCCGGGCTCGTTATGTGGCGGCCGTCTTACGGCAAACATAAAAAAAGAGAAGATACAATAAGGAAGAACAAGAAACGGAAGCAAAAAGATGGTCTCGAACAGCCTCATCATTGCAAATTTGGACGAGCTGGGAATCGAACCCAGGACCTTTCGCATACAGGTGAGTATGCTAAGCGAACGCTCTACCAACTGAGCCACACGCCCGAGAAAGTGGAGAATGAAGGTGATCGAGAATTGGACGAGCTGGGAATCGAACCCAGGACCTTTCGCATGCTCAGAAACATGCTAAGCGAACGCTCTACCAACTGAGCCACACGCCCTTGATCTTGTTGTTGGAAGTCGGCGACGTGTGGAGGGCTTATGATGGCAATTCTGGAACATGCAGAATGCCTATGTGCAATGGTCACGAAGAGGAACCTGGGAAGACAGACGATGAAAAAACGGACCTACCTAAAAGACACCAGTGGGCATGTCAGTTCCACGGCATGTCACAACGGCAAGTGAGCCTGGGTAGGTAGGTAAGAGAGGGAGAAAAGGAAGACCAGCATCAAATCATCATGCCCCTCCGTAACACTCAAGAAAGGGTTTAGCAACTTACGTACTGTTCACTCGGCCAATTGAGGCCTGTTGAATATGGCACTTGGTCGATGCTCCATTACTTGGATCCATACTTCCATATAGATCGACCAAGAGGCGGACAAGTGACAGATGGACCCTTGAAGCTGCTCGGACAGGTGAACTCTTCAGGTACGGCGATGCCGACACCGCCGGCACTGTCGACTTGACTACTCTCCTGGAGACGCCCTCATTCTCTCGCCGCTGCGGTTCCAATGAGATCAAGTGCTTCAGTGAGAACCAGGTGGCTGCTTCGTCCTGCAAGACTCTGGTCAATGGCTAACTTTCCGAATAGCCCTCGCTATGTGTGCCAGCTGGGCCAACAACTTGTCGCGTGCGTGGTACGTCCACCTTGGTCATGGCGCGGCGGCGAGCCTCAAGAGACGCCGCGCAAGTGCTGAATGGGTATCTGGTAAGTCTCATGACCCCTTGCTCGGCAGCACCTACACCACACAATGCTTGTCTAACCGCCCCAATGGGTGCAACAACAACTAAGAGGGCTGTTGATGATGAAGTGAGCGCCAAAGATGAGGCAATATGTGATGCGAGGGCTTGTGAGAAGATGGGTGTGCCAATCAAGGAGTGAGGTGGATGTATGAATATGAAAAGGGTCGTGGTTTCAAGAGCTTACACTTGTAACCATGGCCGTACGGTAGCGTACTGGACATCCATAAGTCATCCTCTGTAAGTCCCATGATGAGCCTTCGGGAAGGGTACCCTGAGTCTCCTTTGTAACAATTCAACTAGATTCTGCCGGGACCAAGTCATATAGGCCGTTCCTCTGCTTCCGCTCCTGAGGGTTTTCCTAAATTCCGAGGGAAAATAAAAGGTGAGCCACAGTGAAGCCCACTTTGTCAAATGAAGGCGGCTGTGAACCTTCCACTTGGTTACCCCTTGAAAGTCCAGAAAACAACAAAGGGTGAAGAGCGAGGTGATAAGGGAGAAATGAAAGTGCAAAAAAGGTGACAATAACCTAATCCAATGGCCAGAGAAAGACAAAAGTCAACAATGTCTTGGAGAGACAAGATGAGGTTGGATGAGCAGATGCGGCGGAGCACTCTGTCAATGTATGAGTAGTAGTTCATTGCGTAGAGTGAATACGGCCAGTCACAGGCGTGATGTTGAACCGATGACCTTGGGGAAGACATAAGAGGTTGATGATGTCGGATCTTGATCTTCTCACAATGCGACCCCCACTCGAAATTGTGCTGGTCGTTGGACGGAACCTTGACGGGTTGTCGGATTACACTGGCTTGCCCTCAGGGACGGCAGAGCCGTGGAATCACGACATGTCGTCCACGACGCTGGTTGGCGCTTGGAGTTATACAGCTGAAGTTGACTTGATGCTTAAACCGTAGTCGCCTATGGGTGGTAGGCTGTGAACCGGGGAGGCGCTCCGGCGAAGTCATCTAGGGTCGAATCGACATATCGAAACCACGTCGAAGGAGCTTAGTGGGCTTCCAGGACACCAGGTGACCGTGAAGCCACGTGGAGAGCGCTCGACGGAGGGCCGATGATTATCACCCGAACAAGTCGCAAAATCGGAGTCGGGGTCGTGGCCGGATATAGTCGAAGTAGCGGGAGGTTGGGAGCAGAGAAGAGGATGCCATGGGATCCGTCATGTCTTTCCGACGCGTAGATTCCCTTCGGATCATCGGCAATGGCGTGCTCTTCGCAATGTCGTTATCGGGATTGTAGTTGGGATTGCGCTGTTTCGGGCCAGTTGAATGATTTGCCGAAGTCAGTAAGGAGTGGCAGACTGGTGTTCAAATGATGGGAGAAGGAGGTGAAGTTTCACACGGGAGACTGCAAAGGCGATGATGTCAGTCATTGGAGAAAGCAGCTACATAAGTGGACAGGGAACCCCTCCTTTTGGTGGGCGTGGGCCCCACTATCAGTTGTGAAAAGTGGGGTCAGCATCGGAGCCCGGGGAAGGCGCTAGCAGGGGGTGAGCTGAACCTTGACTTTAGAGAACGACTCCGAGGGAAGGAACACCTCGAATCACCATCACTCAACGTGAATCGAGTAGTGAGACAGTTCATGACAGGCTGCACTGTCCAAGTGTTTGGACAGTAACCATCTCGATGGACATAGGTGTTCTCATTGAACAAAAAGCACCAAAGGTTGGTGGTATCACGGTTGGGCTCCAGTTCCCAGCGCTACCTAACTCGGAAGCAGGAACGGGTTCGGCTCTAATACGTCCGTGAAAGCTTGACGTACCAGGCCGACTTTAGGCGTGTCATCTGCGGAGAGAAAGAATGGAATGCAAAGAATGAAAGAGAAGAAAGTTCGGTTGGAGGGACCAATGGGGGTTAATCAACACCAGTGATGGAAAGGGAGAGAGCAATGAGAAAGGTTTGCCGGGTAGGGCAAGACTGACGACAGCTGCAGCAAGAGAAGAGGGGCAGCTCCCAGGCATCATCAATGGTCTATGCCTAGACGGGAGGTATCATCATCATCCTCACCACCAATTCCATTGAGCTTGACGATACTACCTCAGGTACTCTTGGATAAAGTGCAGCGGGTAACCGACCAACCATCATGAGAGCTCAGCTTTGACGCTGACAGATCACAGCGTCGAGCTTGGTCGGACTGCTCCGTCGTGAGTGAGGGTGGGTAGAGGTACCAATCAAAAGGAAGCAAGTGCTGCTCAATCTGGCACTTCCCCTCTCTTGACGAGAGCTTCGGGATCCCTTCCCGTTCCTAGCCTCGAGTGAGTCTGGCTCCGTCTTATATATCACATATCCTCTCAGACATACCTAACCTGACTGACTCTCTGTCCTTCCCACTTTTGTTGGTTTCTGGATAATCCGCCCTCTTCATTCTAGTTTCTATCTAGGTACTTTTACTTGCCTCTATTTTTGAACGAGCAATCGAAAGATCTCGATACCAAGGTAGACCTAAACTCACACAACCCGCGTATCCTCCCCCAGCCCAGCCGCTCTGCACCAGTCACGGTGCAGCATTCCACTGGCTAGCCAACAGAGCTACGGGGAGCTCCAGTAGCTTCGCGCGGGGTCGATTCACTTGGAAGCCGCTAAGAGCATCTAGCCCATCAAGGTACGTGGTGCTGCCCCACTTGCTCGTCTGTTGCCAACCCCATGATTCCATCCGTCCTCCAATCCATTGTCAGCCCAATGAAACCTCGGACCAGAGACCACCTAGGAAAAGGATCGTATCATACGTTTTGAATGTCATGGCATGTCATCCGATGGTTTCCCAAGCTATATCTGTTGTTGTATCCCCAAGGGATTGGGCCCCCCTCCTCTCTTCTTCCCCATCTATGAACGCTTCCTGACGTTCTGATCCTACCACTATCCAGCAACTCCCCATCCATCTCCTACAATGGCCTCCAACACCACACAGCGGGTTCCCCTTAGAGAGAGGAGGCCATCCGTTGGCGCTCCTCTCGTCGATATTCAAGGAGGTGTTGCTCCTGCCGGCGTCTCCCGTCCCAAACACAAGAGAACCCTCACCGGCTTCGGTCCAGGAGAGATCAAGAATGTTGAAGGTATGGTTGGTCCCTTGACACCAACACTACCTCCTGGTACAAACACTAACATCATCTTTCCAACCACTCAGCCTCCATCCCCGAGCCCCAGCGCAAGGCTTGGCTCGCCCACCAGACCAGCGGCTTCAAGGACAAGGACGGCTTCGAAACCGAGGTTGTCCGCCATGTCGAGACCACCCTTGCCCGTAGCATGTACAACTGCGACGAACAGGCTGCCTACTCTGCCTGCAGTCTGGCCTTCCGTGACCGTCTTATTCTCGAGTGGAACCGCACCCAGCAGCGCCAGACCTTCGCCGACAGCAAGCGTGTCTACTATCTCTCCCTAGAGTTCCTCATGGGCCGTGCCCTCGACAACGCCATGCTCAACATTGGTCAGAAGGACGTGGCCAAGGCTGGTCTGGCCGAACTCGGCTTCAGAATCGAGGATGTCATCGAACAAGAGCACGACGCTGCTCTTGGAAACGGTGGCCTTGGTCGTCTCGCTGCCTGCTTCCTCGACAGTCTGGCTTCCCTCAACTACTCGGCCTGGGGTTACGGCCTCAGGTACCGCTACGGTATCTTCAAGCAGGAGATCATCGACGGCTACCAGGTTGAGGTGCCAGACTACTGGCTCGACTTCAACCCATGGGAGTTCCCGCGTCACGATGTCACCGTTGATATTCAGTTCTACGGCCATGTCACCAAGCGCACTGATGACAACGGCAAGACCATCGCTACCTGGGAGGGCGGCGAGATCGTCAAGGCCGTTGCTTATGATGTCCCCATTCCCGGTTATGCCACTCCTTCGACCAACAACCTGAGACTGTGGTCCAGCAAGGCTGCCAGCGGAGAGTTCGACTTCCAAAAGTTCAACAGCGGCGACTACGAGAACTCGGTCGCTGACCAGCAGCGTGCCGAGACCATCAGCGCTGTGCTCTACCCCAACGACAACCTCGATCGCGGAAAGGAGCTTCGTCTAAAGCAGCAATACTTCTGGGTTGCCGCTTCCCTCTACGACATTGTCCGCCGTTTCAAAAAGTCGAGGCGCGCATGGAAGGAGTTCCCCGACCAGGTGGCCATTCAGCTGAACGACACCCACCCGACTCTGGCTGTTGTCGAACTCCAGCGTATCCTTGTTGATCTTGAGGGCCTTGACTGGGAGGAGGCCTGGAACATCGTCACAAACACTTTCGGTTACACCAACCACACCGTCCTGCCCGAGGCTCTCGAGAAGTGGTCGGTCCCCTTGTTCCAGCATCTCCTGCCCCGCCACCTCCAGCTTATCTACGACATCAACCTCTTCTTCCTCCAGAGCGTCGAGCGCAAGTTCCCCAAAGATCGCGAGATGCTTGCCCGTGTCTCCATCATCGAGGAGTCCCAGCCCAAGATGGTCCGCATGGCTCACCTGGCTATTGTTGGTTCTCACAAGGTCAACGGTGTTGCTGAGCTGCACTCTGATCTCATCAAGACCACCATCTTTAAGGACTTCGTCGAGGTCTTTGGCCCTGACAAGTTCACCAACGTCACCAACGGTATCACTCCCCGCAGATGGCTCCACCAGGCCAATCCTCGCCTCTCCGAGCTTATCTCCAGCAAGACGGGTAGCCAGAACTTCCTCAAGGATCTGACGGAGCTGGCCAAGATCGAGCACTACAAGGATGATAAGGCATTCCGTAAGGAGTGGGCTGAGATCAAGTATGCCAACAAGGTCCGTCTGGCCAAGCACATCAAGAAGACTACCGGTGTCGATGTCAACCCCTCTGCCCTGTTTGACGTCCAGGTCAAGCGTATCCACGAGTACAAGCGCCAACAGATGAACATCTTTGGCGTCATCCACCGCTATCTTACCCTCAAGTCTCTCTCGCCTGAGGAGAGGAAGAAGTTCCAACCCAGAGTTTCCATCTTTGGTGGCAAGGCTGCCCCCGGCTACTGGATGGCTAAGCAGATTATTCACTTGATCAATGCTGTCGGTGCCGTTGTCAACAACGACAAGGATATCGGTGATCTGCTCAAGGTCATCTTCCTCGAGGATTACAACGTTAGCAAGGCCGAGATGATCATTCCCGCTTCGGATCTCAGCGAGCATATCTCGACTGCCGGTACCGAGTAAGTTTTCCGTTGCGAGGGTTGTGAAAGTTAGAAGCTAACCTTGAACAGGGCCTCTGGTACCAGTAACATGAAGTTCGTCCTCAACGGTGGTCTCATCATCGGAACATGCGATGGTGCCAACGTAAGCAACAACCCTCTCTTCTATGCCATATTTTCTCTCGCTAACCCTCTCTAGATCGAAATCACCCGCGAAATCGG